TTAGGTGCTCAAGAAATAGTTGTCAAATGAATAAAGGACACAGGTATCATGACCTCAGTTCTAGTCATAGTTTCTGGTTAACTTGTACTCCATTGTTTTGAAATGATGTCACAGCCAGTTTCCTTAGATATTTTATGGGGTCAGTCCTTCGGGAAAATATTTTTAAAAATTATTTCTGCGTGATCCTGGCCTATGATTTTGTCTTTTGTGGATTTAACTCTCAAATCTCCAGGAAGTGCTATGTAGCAGGATGGAAGTTAAGTTTCCTTCTGGAATGCCTGCTCTGACGCACGGTTTTAGATGAGCACAGGGATTCCTAACCCTAGCTGTCTTACCAGCATAACAGGGCAGTTTTAAAACATAAAAAATAGAGCCTCCTGAATTAAAATTAGGAGGCCAAGGATTTGTATACTTGTTAACAAGATTTCTAGGTGATTGTTATTAGCTAGGCTGGCATAAAGATTTACTAGTCTCAGCAGAATTGGATGCTCTAAATTTTTTTCTTTTTTCTTATTTCTTTATTTAGTTATTTGAAAATAGGGTCTTGCTATTTTGTCCAGGCTGGGATGCAGTGGCTATTTACAGGTGTGATCATAGTGCACTATAGCCTCAAACTTCTGGCTTCAAGCGATCCTTCTCAGCCTCCTGAGTAGTTGGGACTATAGTCATGTGCTACTGTGCTGGGTGGATGCTCTGATTAATTAGCAATATCTGCCATGGGTGATTGTGATTAGTTCTTTCACTGTGCCACTGTGAAAAAAGCTACATGAAAATTTGGCTTATAAAATGTTGAGACTTTGTTCATGTCTTCATAGATAGGGAATGTTCCCTGTTTTCATGAAGTGTATGTGATTTTTGATGTTTTTAAATTCATTGAGAACAATTTTATGTCCTAACATCTGAGAGAATGTTCTGTGTGCATTTAAGAACATGTATTCTGTTCTTGTTGGCTCAAATGCTTTGTATTTGTCTTATAGGTCTAATTGATTTATAGTATTGTTCAAGTCTTCTATTTCCTTATTGACCTTGTATCTAAATGACCTATTATTGAAAATGGGGTGTCGAAGTCTGCAATTAATAATGTAGAACTTTCTTCATTATAGTCACTGCTATATATATTTTGGTGCTCTGTTTTGGTGCATATACATTATAATTGTTAATATCTTGATGAATTGACCCTTTTTGTCATTGTACAATATTGTCTTTTTAAAACAGTTGTGGACTTAAAGTCTATTTTGTCTGATAATTAGGTTAGCCACACCAGCTTCTCTTTTGGTTACTATTTACATGCAGTATTTTTTTCCATTCTTTCACTTTCAACCTGTCAGCGTTTTGGGCTCTAATGTGAATCTATAATAAGCAGCATGTAGTTGGATCATGTTTCTTGTCCACTCTGATGTGAGAGAAGATAGTTGAGTAGGAAATACCAGGAATTGTCCCTTCTAGTGAAATACCGTTGACATAGCAATAAGTGTTTGAAGAACTGTTTTGTAATTCTCACACTGCTCTTGTCCACGGATGGGCTAGTACAGAGGCTCTCTCTCTATTCCTTCATCCCCCTGCGCTGAAGCAATTTCTCCTGCAGCTTTGTTCATTTTTTTCTTTTCTTACTGGATCCAGGCATTTAAGGAAATGTGTCAGTCAGGTCACTGGCTGATTAGGGAGGTAACAGAATGGAGACTGAAGTGACCACACTCAAGAAGGAATATAGTAAAAAGTCTTTGCAAAAATAGTTTGGAAGAGTCATTAAACAAGTAGACAAAAACCTTAATTAACAACAGCAATTTCTGGGGAAGGGGAGAATCTGATTTCCAGAGTTACTACAATATTCAAAATATCTAGTTGCCACTGTTGTTTCTGATGAGAATTGGCTGTTATTGCAGTTCCCTTGTAAGTGATGAGCCGTTTTTCTTATGGGCTCTCAGTTTTCTTGTTTTTGGCTTTGAAATATTTTGACCGTGCCGTGTGTTTGTGGATCTCTGTGTTTGTTCTGTATTCAGTTTGTTGAGCTTCTGGATGTATAAATGAATATTTTCCAATAAATTTGGAAGTTTTCGGCCATTATTTTGAGTATGTTTTCTTTTGCCTTTATATGCTCTTGTTTTGGTACTCCCGGCACACGTATGTTGGTATGCTTTACAATGGCCCACATTTCTCTGAGGCTGTGTTCAGTTTTTCTCATTTGTTCTTAGATGGATTATCTCTGTTGATCTGTTTTCAAGTTCATTGATTCTTCTGCTAGTTTCAGATCTACTGTTAAGCCCTGGCAGTGAATTCATTTCAGTTACTTTTCAATTTCAGAATTTCTGTTTATTTATTTATTTTTTAAATTTCTGTCTTTTCATATTCTTTATTCGTTGTGACAGTGTCATCATACTTTCTTTTGGTTCTTTGATTGTGATTTCATTTAATTCTCTGAGCGTATTTATAATGGCTACTTAAACATCGTTTTTTTTGTTAAATCTGATATCTGATCCCCTCACAGGTGATTTCTGTTACCTGCTTTATTTCTGATGGATTATAGGTTATGCTTTTTTTGATGTTATGCTTTCTGTTTCTTTGATGCCTTGTAATTTTTTTGCTGGAAACTGGACATTTTAGATAATATGTTCCGGCAACTCTGGCGCTGGTCTCCCTACTCTCCCACCTCTGGGCCTCTTATTGTTGCTGGCTGTTTACTCCTTTTTTGACTGGCTGGGTTATTTTAGAGAAATCCCTTCCTACTCCCCCTCCCTTATCCTTCAACTCCTGCACTGTGAAGCTTCTGATGTTGTTCCTGGGGGTCCTGGGGGAACAGCCTTGGGCACATCCACAATCACCCTGGGATGACAGTGGCTTTGGCAGGGCCCTTTTTGACTGTCTCTTTCTCTGACCACACCTTCCACAATGCCTTGGGGCATAAATTGGTTTATAGTTGGAGCCATTCACATTCCGGCTCCTTTGAATGAGTAGTGTCTGCGGTTTGTGTTTGAGATTTGTTCAGACCCAGGCAGAGCCCTTTCCCACATGTCTCTTTCTCCATCTCTCCAGCATAGCAGCTGGTCTACTGTCTGTCTCTGTGTCTATAGTTACACTCTCCTCCTAATTACCTCTCACCAAAACCCTCACTGTTTTTTGAGAGCACCCTTTGGCTTGAAGTCAGTTCCTTTGGGAGAGTTTTGCAGCTCTCTGTTTAAGGCCTCCCCCTTCTGCTGCCCCCAACTCTCTGAGCCATAGCTCTTATGCTGTGGGTGGAGACAGTGGCACACTGGTCTCTAGTGACACTCTGGCTTTAGGAGCTGATCACCTGGGGGATGAGGGTGAGGCAGCAGCCCCAGGTCTGTTCAACCGGATGCTCTTGGTGAGGGCTGGGGCTATCTAGGCCAGCAGTGTCTGTCCCATAATTGGGACCTAGGTGGAAAAAGGCAGCCATGCACCTCTCACTCACGCTCTTACCCAGAATTGAGCCTCCACAGTTGGTAGGTGGGCATGGGGTGAGAAATGCAGAGGTCCTGGCCTTCCAGCTGGATTATGGGGAGAGGGAGCCTGGCGTTCTTGGGCACGCTAGTCTAGAGTGGAGTCTCGGCCTTACTGAACTTCTGGGGGAGGTAGGAGTGGGCCCTGATTCAAAAACCCTGCATTCTTGCTTTTGTTCTTAACAAATTTTAGTAGATTTCTGGAATAAGTGTCTTTTCATTTGCTGTGTACACTGAGAATCATTTCCAGAGGCTTTAGATGGTTGTTCTTAAAATAGTTTTCACCAGGTTCATGGGGAGTAGGCCCACAGAGCTCCTCAGGCTTGTCATGTGGGAAGTGGAACTCACTGTTTTTCACTTTAGGATTTTTATCTTTTTTTAAAGCATCTGTTCTGTTTGGTAAGAATTGATACATTACTTCATTAGAACTTTACTGGTTAATTTCAGCTCCATGTTGGGAAAATTCCTGAAGCTTTGTAGGTGTTTATATCATTTGGCCCTGCCTACCCCTATGTTAAGCTCTTTCTGGGGAAAGTTGTCTCTGTCTCATGCTGCTTCTCATCGCTCTTTGCTTGTATGTGTGCCGAAGACAAAGAACGTTATTTTCTGTTCTTGCGAGTTTCCTAATGATAAAAATAACTTTATATCAGGTGCCACCCATTTGTTAATTCCTTTATTTTAAAATAGACTGTCACATTTAATCTTCCAGCAAATTTATGAAATAGATAATAGCTTCATTTTACAGAAAAAGAAACAGGCCCCTTAAAGGGCTCTGGTCTCAACTGCTACTTCTGCACAGTCCATTTTAGTAGCCCTTGCCACATGTGGCCAGCAAGCACTTGAAACGTGGCTGGTCCACACTAGGATGCAAGATGTGCTATGTATGCAAAATACATACTTAGTGTACAAAAAGTGTAAAAGATCCTGTTAAGGTTTTCTGTATTGTTTATATGCTATAGTGATATTTTAGGTATACTGGGATAAATAAAATAATATTGTTTAAATTTCACAGGTTAAAGTTTCACCTGTCTCTTTTTACTTTTTAAAAATCTGGCTACTGGAAAACTTAAAATTATATATGTGGCCTGCATTATATTTCTGCTGCTCACCACTGCTCTGCATCATCTCTGCTTCATTTAAATGGAATCTTGGCTTTCATGATTTGGAAAAGTGTGAAGATTACAAAAAGTATTATAAAAGTCTCTAACTTACAGCAAATCAGCATTTTTTTCTTTTATGTGTAAAAAAATATGCTCAACTCATTTTATAAAGAAAACATTTTGCTAAAGTTTGTGTTCTTAAACTGGTAGTGATTTTTCATGCCTAATAATGTTCAATAAATTCATTTTCTTTGCATAGCTTTGTATCTTTATAATTTGTAATTATTAAATGGCTAGTGCATTTGTGACAGTTGTATATAGAACTTTTGTAATTTAAAATGTCAAGTCTGGATTCTTCATGCAAGTTTTTTCAGTATTCGAGTTATTTGTATTGTGTCTCTGTTTTAATTTAGTAAAACTGACTTCAGTGCACTCTTCCTCACAGATGACGACTTTGACCAGTTTGATAAGCCTGGTGCGGAACGGTCCTGGAGAAGAAGAGCTGCTGACGAGGATTGGGACAGGTGTGTACAAACCTGTGCTTCACATGCACATCTGTGCTGATTTCTGTTTTCCCGTCACTTGGCTGCAGAGAGGTTTGTTTGTTTATTTATTTGCTGGACATTGCCTGAAAGCAGAGAGGTCTTTACTGAACAGTGTGTTGGTTACCTGATGCCCTTTCTGGGTGGGCTTATTCCCACTGGGCTAAAGTGAAGACTTTTCAGGTAAAAAGCTGCCTGATGGGCTCCTGTTCTCGTCTGTGCTGTATGCAGGGTTGCTGCCAGAACACAGGTCTTTCCTTCTCTCTGTGTGTGCACTCAGTGATGGTATTGACTTTGTGGGCACCAGAACCATTATGGGATTAGTTGTATGCCAGGGTTCCTTTTGCTCCTCACTGTACCCAATATTTGGCTAGTCTTTAAATTTTTGCCATTCTAGTATGTGTAGAATGTTATCTTACTAATTTTATTGTGCATTTCCTGATTACCAGTGAAGATGAAAATATTTGTTTAGGAGTACACACATGCACACAATAAAAAAAAAATCCGCAGTAATGATATGTGTCAATTCAACATAGTGGTTACCTCTGGCAAGAAGTTCCAGTAGAAGTTAGAGGATGTGTGCTGGGAGAAGTACACAGTGGGGCTTAATCTGAGTAGTGAGGTTGAGAAATGATGACTATTCTTTACAATGTTCTAATACTGTGTTGAGGAAATGTAAAAATCACTTTGAGTTGTAGTCAGTTTGAAAACAGTATACCCTAAAAGTTTTACAAAATAATCTGTTATGAAAACTGTCTAACTCTTACAGTCTTCATAAAGTTGATTGCTCATCTATGGCCCATGCAATGTATTGTCAGGATTCTCCAGAGAAACAGAACCAACAGGATATATATAGTTATATAGAAAGAGATTCATCATGAGGGATTGGCTCATGCAGTTATGGAGACTGAGAAGTCCCAGGATCTGCAGAGCCAGTTCTGTAGTTCCAGTCCAAGCCCAGAGGCCTGAGAACCAGGGGAGCCAGTGATACAAGTCCTAGTCTGAGCTTGAAGGCCTGAGAACCAGGAGCACTGATGTCCACGGGCAAAAGAAGTGTGTGATTTGCCTGAACTCTTAACTTTTTGGATAATGGCTGCCCACATTGATGAGGGTGGATTTTCTTTACACATTTACTGATTTAAATACTAATCTTCTCTGGAAGCACCCTCACAGATGTTCACAAAAATAATAGTTTTACTAGCTATCTGGGCGTTTCTTATCCCAGTCAAGTTAACATAAAATTAACCAACATGCAGTCTATAAAGAAATCAATTAGCACTTAGAACTAAGTCTTATATATAAAAGAAATAGTTTTACCAGGAATTATTCAAGCTAGTTTTGTTTAAAAGACTGTGATGGTAAGCTGAATAAAATATAAAGTGGTTCTTTTACTAGTTTACTCATCATTTGGAGCTCCTCTTTAAATTTTCTGTTCATATCTGTGTTTTTCTTTTTCATTGCTTGTTTTTTCCTTATTGACTTAAGGGATTCTTTATACTTTAGTTTTTGTTGCTTAGAGATACCGTCCCCTAATCTGTGGCATATGTTTCCTTAAAAGATAGTCTTTAAATAGATTGTTCAAAATAATAGTCAAATTAATAATCTTTTTATTTTTTGATTAAAACATGGAACAAATTCTTTTGGAAATCTTTTTCAGACTTACAAGGAAGTCACAAGCATAACATAACTCCCACTTGACCTTCTCTTAGACTCATTAGCTGCTTTTTTTGTTGTAGAATCCATGTTATTGTTCTTACTCTTTACTTGTATGTAAATATTTCTTTCCTGTACTGTTTGGCAGTGCATACCTCAGGAGGCTTGGGATGTCGGTTAAGGAAATTCTGCTTTTTGTACTTACGCACTCTTCCCTCCTCTGTATTCTGGATGTGTCCTGCATGGTTTCTGTGAAAGTTTAAATTTTTTTTTTTTACAGTTAGATATATTATCTGTCTGGAATTGATTAAATTGATTGACCTTTAACTTACAGAGAATTTCAAGCATATGTGAAAATAGTGCAGTGAACCCAATGTACCATCATTAAGCTTCACCAGTCATCCTTATGTAGCCAGCCTTGTTTTATGCACACTTTCTACAGCCCCCCTCAAATCACAAACAAAATTTCATCTGACTTCAGAATGTATCTCTTTAAAAAAAAGAGTTTACACATATAGCCACAATAGTTATTGTATCTGGGAAATAATTACTTATTAATAAATATCTTGTTAGTGTTCACCTTTCCCTGATTGTTTTTTTAAATATGTGTGTGTATGTATGCATATATATGTGTACATACATATATAAAATATATGTATGAGTATATTATACACTCATGCAGTGTAGATACGTGTCTGTTTACTTTTTTATTGTTGGAATTGGGTCCAAATAGGGTCCATATATCGTAATTAACTTGTGTTTTTTCAAGTGTTGTTTCATCTTTAGTTCTGTGTAATTTTTGGTGAAGAAACAAGATAGTTTGTCTTCCAGAGTTCTTGCTTTTGCTGATCGCATCCCCTGAAGGGTTTTTAGTGTGTCCTTTACCCTTGTATTTCATGTCAGCTAATGATCAGGTGCAGAGGTGGCTGGGATTTGGGCTTGAGTGTGGGGAGGGCAGGGCTGGTTGTGTCTCAGGTAGGATGTGCCTGTGATACTCTCTGTTTTTCTATCACCTGTGGTACTTCTGCAAACTATTTGGTTCTTCTGAGGTACAGATTACACAGAGAAGACAAGATAGGTGATTGAGTCTTTTATTTACCAACTTTCAAAGTAACAAGTCAACCATAGCATACTCCAGGGGTGAGTTTTATTTTCAATCATTTTGAAATCGTAGATTTAGATATTGGTTGTATTTATTGCAGTTGTAATATTATCTTTATTGATGGTCAGATTGCTCCGATATTTGTTCAGTTGGAATTTATTCAGGTTGGCTGCTGAGTCCATTTGACGTGACTTAGGTGTCTTTGTCAGTTTTCTTGCTTTCCGCTCTGATGGAACTTGTTTTTGGTCATGGCGTGAGACAAGGTCCTAGTTTTTTCTGTTTTCCTCGGCAGGAATAACAGTCGTCTCAGTATTGTTTATGAACAAGCTTCCTTTTTTCACTATCTTCAGTGACAGGTTTGTTTATATGAAGATTCTGTGACACGTATTTATTTGATATATTGAAGCATAAAACAGCCTCTTTATGCTGAATAATAGAGACATACATTTGGAAGTTAAGGAGAAGAGTTTGTCAGAAATTGTTACGAGAAGCTCTTGCTGCTATCATGTTGCATTAATGGTAGGTATATTTGGAAGAATATGTCATTGCTGAACCAGCACCTGAACATTTTAAGTTGAAAGATGCGCATGTCTCATCTGTGTTCAGGCAAGAAGGGGACAGCACACACAAAAGTTTTAACAAAATAATTTAATGAAGGGGGTCTATTTACAGGGCAGGTTTGAGAATTAATGAGACTGTGAGCACCCAGGGAGTAGCAGTGTCCCATCCAGTGGCAGTGGTGTCCTAGAGCCCAGTGAGAGCTCTGGGGAGGGGAGGCACTAGTCTCTGTCCCCTCATGGTGCAAGTGAGAAGTGAGGGGCCAGTCTTTCTCCTCCCACTTGACGACATTCTTTCAATGCCTCCCATTGGCTGAACCTGTGCAGAAGCCAGAGGCTGGGACAGCCTGTGATACTGTCCAGGAACAGCGCAGACGGGACGGTGGACTGGGGTCGGGAGGACCCGGAGACAATGATGGACCCATGCGCAGTGGTCTGCTTGTCACTTAGACTCACTGCTTTGAAAGGCTGCAGCCAAGTGGCTCACAATAGACACTTGTTTCCTGAACAACGTCTTTCAGGATACTTCTGTTCATTTTATTTTACTTATTTTATTTTTTATTTTATGAAGAGTGGCACTTACTTAGCCCCCACTGCGGGGGCCGGTGGACCCTTTTCCCCCATTTCTGTTTATAAATAAAGTAAAAATATACTTCCTCTCAAAGAACTGATTTCTAATTTAGAAATATCTGCCGAAAACGTTGTTCTTACTCAGATAATGCTTATTGGTGTGGAATCTGCGTTAAGCACAAAACTCTTACCAGCCAGTGCTTGTTTCATTTCCTAGATGAGCTGCTGTTGGTGTCATTCCGTGTGACTGCTCACTCCTTAGAAACCACCAGATGTGGACCAGACACTTCCATTAGTTCACTGTTTTTGACAACAGTCAATATACTTTTGATAGTTTCATGTATTTAATAAGTTTCTTCTCTTATATGTACGTCCTTTGTGAGCATGCAACCTTATGATGGCAGTAAGAGGAGTATATTTAGTTTCTTTGGGGTATGTGCCTAGTAGTTAGGACTTGGACTCTGAAGCTGGACTGTATGAGTTCACCTGGTGTCACCACTTGCTACCTGGGTGACCTTGGGCAAGTTATTTAACATCTCAGTATCTCTATTTTCACCTTTAAAAAAATGAGGATGATGTGAGTATCTACCAATAGGGTTATGATGGCATTTAAAAAGCTAGTACATGTGAAACACTTTGCACGGTGCCTGGCACAGAAGACTGGATGTTGTTGATTGCATGAGTTATTTATATTATTTATGCTTGTTGGAGTCCCATGGTGTAACCCTACTATCTCCCAGCCTGCTGTCTTGGTAGTCATGGAAACAAGTGCTAGTCTCCATTTTCTCTATATTACACTCATTTTGTAACTGGTGTAGTTATTTATCTTTTTTTTTTTTTTTTTTTTTGAGACAGAGTCTCGCTTTGTTGCCCAGGCTAGAGTGAGTGCCGTGGCGTCAGCCTAGCTCACAGCAACCTCAAACTCCTGGGCTCAAGTGATCCTTCTGCCTCAGCCTCCCGGGTAGCTGGGACTACAGGCATGCGCCACCATGCCCGGCTAATTTTTTATATATATATCAGTTGGCCAATTAATTTCTTTCTATTTATAGTAGAGACGGGGTCTCGCTCTTGCTCAGTCTGGTTTTGAACTCCTGACCTTGAGCAATCCGCCTGCCTCGGCCTCCCAAGAGCTAGGATTACAGGCGTGAGCCACAGCGCCCGGCCTATTTATCTTTTTAAAAATGTTATTGTTTAGAAAAAATAAGTAGTCATTAAAGGGTGATTTCTTCTTTCCATGTACTTATCTTGTCAGCAGAAGGCACAAATACTTCCTAGAGTTTTGCTTGTATAACTGTTAACACCTGTTCTTATTACTTTATCAGTTGTGCCCTGGGAAAATGGTTCTACCTTCCATTTTCAGTTATTTAAAGTGATGTTGTAGACAGGTGCTTGTCTTCAAGGAGGTGCTGTGTGTTTTTGGTCATCTAGAATCAAATACTCAAATGGGACTGTTGTAAATATTGTTGGTAGGCAGTGTTTTTTACCTCTGCCTCTGGAGGATAATTGTAACACTGAAGATATAAAATTTGTATCTGGTAGATGATTAGTGGTTTAAAAGTGTTGGAAGAAGCCACATTCTGTTCTCTTACAACTGTCTTGCACAGGTCTGTGAAAGATTGTTTTTTCAGGGGCTGTTCTTGTTCTGCGTCTGTCACTGCTATGGGACCTTAGGCAAGTTATTTAATGCCTTGTCCTTATTTTCTTTACCTGTGAAATGAGGGCATGGGACTTATTGCAGGTAACGTAAAATAACTGAGAAATGAACTAAATGATTTGTCCAGTTTCTAACTCCAAAAGGTATATGGAAATATGCATTTCTGTTATAACTTCACATATATAGCAAGATAGCACACACAAAATAAATGTGGTTTTTGAGTAAAATAATGCTGGTGATGATCTCTCAAAACTCACAGAATTTTGTAACCAGAACCTCATAAAAAAAGAGTAGCAATCCTAATAAGAATATTGGTATAGTTAAACCTCCACTGGCATTTGCACCTAGCATCATAGTCAGTCCAATTGTTTCCTTCTCCTATGTTTCTATGTGTTGATCTTTAAAGACATTTGCTTCTAAGAGATTGATTTCCCCATAATTAAAAACATAATCCAGTGATAGCCATCTTTATCAAGCAAAATGATCTTTTTTTAAAATAAATGCAATGGAAAATGTCTTCAGTTTCTTGATTGCTAAGAGTTTCTGTTTTAGTTGGGAGAAAACCTGCTCCCAATCACTTCAGAACAGAAATATGCTGGAAAAAATTGCAAAAGACTGGTAGAACTTCTGTACTATGCGAAGATAATCCCTTCAGTTAACTGTGATTTGATTTCGAGTCTTCATCTTTTTTAAAATTAAAAATTTTTTCTTAGTTTTTATCAGTTTGAGTGTCAAATGGTCTCTGTGGTTTGCTTTTTATCTTATTGAGCATCTTTTCCTATTTCATCATGGATTTTTAAGGATAAGAGAAAGCTTACGATATTACTTATTATAGTTTCTTTTACTTATTCAATATGTCCAAAGAGATTAAGATCTCATATTGAGGTACAAAACTAAGATTAGAGAAGTATAAAGAGCCACCTCCTATAGCAATGCCTTAAAAGACACAGTGTTCCCTATACATTTGAAAAATATATTTTTTAATTAATAAAGAAAAAGAAAAGTATAGTAGAGTTAACATGAAAATACCCAAACCCTTACCTTGGTAAAATTTGAGTGACCTACACAGTTTTCAGCCTTATAAGGGTAATCATTGACATGTCTCTTTTTTTTCCCCTCCAGTGAACTTGAAGATGACTTACTTGGAGAAGATTTGCTATCTGGCAAAAAGGTAAGAAATACAGGTCTTTCCAAAATGAAACAGTAGTCATGTAATTATACTGAAAATACTGGAGTGTGTCACTTATGCATGGGATGTGTTACTAGAAAGTTGTGTATAGGTTAAAATTTTGTAAACTGAATTAGTTTTCAAGTACACAGAGAGTTGACTGTTTATTAGTAAATTCTCTGGTAATTATAACTAAAGAAATAAATCCTTTGAAGCAAATATTTTGGTTCCTAGTATGTCCAAAGCACTCTAGCAGGTATTGGTTTTGTGACAACAGTAATATAAAACTACTCCTTGCCCTGTAGGAGCTGAACAATTGGAGGTTAATATTTTGCATACTGGTTCTGGATTTCACTTTTTGGGGGCATTCAGAGATAAGCTGAAAGATGAACATATTCAAATATAACAAACATTCAGATAAATAAAAATAAATCTAAAACCTAATGTAGATTTTTAAAAAACCTTTTTGATCAAGTAAAAACTTTGAAGCAATTAATAATTTAAGTGTATATCTATTTATTGTGTGAGTATATACATACCACTCTACCAGTACATTTCAAATACAATAAAACGTATATAAAAAGTAGACGTGTAAAGCAAAAGATGAAAGTGAAATACTAAATTTTTTATTTTATTCTTTAATAGTTTAAAAATACTATTCTCATTTAATATCAAGATATTTCTTTATGCTTAATTTTTAAAAGATTTCAAGTTAAGATCTACTAGAGGAAGTGCCAGTTTTGCCGCTTTCTTGTAACTTATTATGTTGCATTATTAGCACTATTCCTGTTAAAGTTGCTATACTTTCCTTTTTCTTTATTAATAATAAAAATGTGTTTTAAAGCACATGGGTTTGTTCTAGGATTCTCTTAGAGCCAGTTTTTCTTCCTATGTTCTGTGTTTTACGGCATCATCAGCCTGTAGGTGGCCTGGCCTCAGACTACCCCAACTTCCCTTCCTTCAGATGGCTCTGTCATCATCTGTAACTCCAAGAATTAGTTTAGTTATCTGTAAGTCCACTCGGTTTAATAGAAGTAAAGTGAAAGCCTAGTGAGAGAGTCCTAAGGGACTCAAACTTTCTTTGTCTTGCTGGGAAGATGGTTCTGTTTTCTGACTGTATCAGTGGATTATTTTTTGCACACCCCTCGAAATGCTCTCACTTCTGTACCTGAAGTGGGTACTTTTTCCTTTGTATTTCTTTAAGATGGTTTAACAAGGAATAACAATTAGATGATAAAAAGGTTTAAATGTAGTAAAATCTCTTGTGTATCGTAGTTTGCTCTGTGTTTCTTTCCAGGGAGTTCCACCAGCCATAATTCTCTTGTGGTGTGCACATGTTTTCCTTATAAAAGTTTTGGTCAGGATTCTTATCAATGAAGATAGAAGAGCACTGTTTGATACTAATACTGACTGTTCTGGGGAAGTAATCTTATTTGTTTTTATTTAATGAATTGATTTTTGTAACTTGGTCACATTTGGCTGAAAGCAAAGTACACTCAGTGGTGGTGGTGCATTCTGATGGTCTCAGTGAGAAGGGCCCTTCCCCTGCTTTGGACGTTTTGGAAGTTTGTTTACTTTGGAACAGTTTTAATGATTCTCTCTCATTTCTTCTTTTCCTCTCTTCTTTCCTAACATAAATACATTGTAAATTGTAGGAATCAAAGCGTTCAAAGAATATAAAAAAGAAAGCCTAAAAAACATAGATACAAGTGGCCATGGCTAACATTTTCCATCTGTCCTTTCATTCTTTTTCAATGTATTTTAAAATATAATTGAAATACTACATGTCAAACATTACTTCTTTTTAATTTAATTTTGTATCATTGCCATTTCCCTCATGTCATTAGGCATATAATGGCTACGTGATATTTCAGTGTTTGTTCACACTACAGGGTATCTAGTCATTTCTGTGTGCATCTACTTATTTCTAAAATTACACTGCTTATGTTGTTTTAAAAATCTTTAGATTTTGGATACTATTTGTTAAATTTAGTCATGTTTTAAGAATACCCTTCTTTTTTGTGTATAATAAGGACATATTATTTGTTTGTAAGAGTCCACTAAAGGACCTCTTACCTTTTTTCTTTTGTGTTAGTTTTAGAATAAATATGGTCATTGCACTTGCCGCTTATATACTTACTTGCCTGTGGCATCTAAATATTAGTCTGGGAGGGGCAGTGAAGATGCCATGTATGGAATACCTTGTTTGTCCGCTGGTAATATCAATTTAATATTGTAAGATTAGAAACAGTCCAATCAATGTAATTTTGCACTTTTGTAATAAGTCTTTGTGGAAGTGACACATATTAATTAGATTTCTTATTTTAATTAGAATCAGTCGGATTTGTCAGATGAAGAGCTAAATGATGATCTTTTACAGAGTGATAATGAAGACGAAGAAAATTTCAGGTACTTGGCATTGCTTCATTAAAATGTTCTTTATTTAACTAAACTGACATGAACTGTTTGTAATTTATAATTATAATGGAATATAATTGAATAATGTGGTATTATATCTTTAACTTATGATTACATTCTAAATGGAATATTGGTATAGCTGGGAAAGCCACGTAGATTGTTCTGTAAACAGATCAGCTGTTTAAAATTAGTAGGTCTTGCATTTAACGACCTCCATGCATTTTCTGTTCAGTTTTGGTTGTGAAAGCTCAGTATAGATATGTACTGCTCTTTAAAGAATTGCTTTGTTTGGATGGAAGGCATCGGCCCCATACCCTTAATCCTTTTGATAGCAGTTTGATGTTGCTGACTTTGTTTACATTTCAGACAATTTTTATTTACATATACCTGTTTACAGAATTACCATTTTAAAAATTCCATTGGATTATATTTTAGATTTGGGTTGATTGAGTATATTGAATGCCTTTCTGTTGTTGACATCGTAAGCCGTATTGTAAGAGAGGAAAGAGATACTTAGTATTTTTGGTAGGTGGAATAATTTTTTCAGTTTTATGAAGAAATACTGGGAAAAGTAATAAACACACTTCTTGGTTATAAATGTAATTAACAAGGCCGGGCGCTGTGGCTCACGCCTGTAATCCTAGCTCTTGGGAGGCCGAGGCGGGCGGATTGCTCAAGGTCAGGAGTTCAAAACCAGCCTGAGCGAGACCCCGTCTCCACTATAAATAGAAAGAAATTAATTGGCCAACTGATATATATATATAAAAATTAGCCGGGCATGGTGGCGCATGCCTGTAGTCCCAGCTACCCGGGAGGCTGAGGCAGAAGGATCACTCGAGCCCAGGAGTTTGAGGTTGCTGTGAGCTAGGCTGACGCCACGGCACTCACTCTAGCCCGGGCAACAAAGTGAGACTCTGTCTCAAAAAAAAAAAAAAAAATAAATGTAATTAACAGATTATGCCATTTGTTACTGAGCCATAGATTTGTAACAGATTTTCTAACATAAAGTAGTTTTACGTGTAAAAATATAGTTTTAAATTATTGAAACAGTTAAATAAATTTCCCAGTTCCATTCTCTGACATCATTATTATACTTTGATCTTTTGAGTGAGTTACGTTGCCACTGAGAAATACACTCCAATGGTATCATTGGAGTATTTTAGCCATAGTGTGTTGAAGTATGTGATATGTTCAATTTTTTGTTAGACTCGGATACTAATATGTGTGAATATAGATGTATCTGCACAGTCTCGCATTTGAAATGTTATCTTGCATCTTATTGTTTGGCATTTAGCTGTTGTGATTTATTGGTAGGATATGATTCTTTGTAGTTTTAAAACCCTGTTTTTTATTGTACTCAGAAATTATGAACCACTTTTAAAAGATATTTGTGAGTAGTATAAACTATTTGAACACTGACATGTATTTTCATACAGATTTTTAACATTTGGATTTTTTTAAAACGAGTTTATAATTTGTATCATAGATATAAAAAAGAAAAATTGTTCTTAAAATTCTGATTTTCTGCTTATAGAATAATATTCTTGTTTTTCCTTTACAATCTTAGCAAACATATTCTATCCATTTTGTTCTGTAAATTAGAATGAAATATAGTCAGTTTGATTTCAGTCATGGGCTTTTGCCAGTCAGACCTACTTCTTCTGGTTGATTTGATGCTTTTGGTCAAATAACCTGCAGCTGATGATAAGTGGGAGTGCTGCACGTGTGCTGAATCTGGGGCGTGGCTCAGTATAGCACATTGGGCTTTGTTTTTCTTGTTGTTGGGGTAACTGCATTTATCAGTAACTTGAATAACTTTTCACCAATCATGGTTTAAATCTTTGTAACAACTAATTTGTATAATGATTTAGTGTTGAGCTCCACTCTGATTGGATGCCTTTCTTTGTATTTTTTATCCTCTCTAGTTCTCAGGGTGTGACAGTTAGTCTCAATACCACGTCTGGCATGGTCACATCATTTGAACTGTCTGACAACACTAATGACCAGTCTGGAGAACAGGAATCTGAGTATGAACAAGGAGAGGATGAACTAGTGTATCACAAATCTGATGGATCTGAATTGTATACTCAAGAGTACCCAGAAGAAGGACAGTATGAAGGCCACGATGCCGAGTTGACAGAAGACCAGATAGAATATGTGGAAGAGCCAGAGGAGGAGCAACTTTACAGTGACGAAGTGCTAGACATTGAAATCAATGAACCTTTAGATGAATTTACAGTGAGTCTTTTCTCCTTTGTATGGCCAAAGATAACCTGGCTTCCCATGCATAGGTTTCTAGACTGATTTGAAATCTGTTTCCCTCCCTTGGGAGGGAGGGAAATTAGACCTTATTATCACTGTCTGCCAGTTTCTTTATCTGAGCTATGACAAAGTTTGTGTTGACAGCTTGTTTGGCTAAAGGTAATGCTCCTTTGTCATTCTGGAAGGCTGCAAAGAAACGTGACCTTGAGGATTGCACCCTAAGGAAGAAAACAGCTTTGTGTGGTGGAGATACCCTGTCAATTGTTAGAAGTACTTAATGCAGAGCTTTTATCCAGGCTTTAGACAAGATCTGATAAAGTCCTTCTAAGGTGAAAAGATTATTGACCTGCTAAAGACATCTTTAAGGTGCTATATTCCAAAGTGATTGATGTCCTGTTCATTCATCCTTTTTGTAACTGAGAGCTGTCTAAACCTGAATAAAGAGATTGGAGGTTAGTTAGGAAATGTCACATATAATTTGTTATCTGTAATCGGGAAGCAAAGATTGTGCTGATTTTCATTTTAGAAAGATGGTTTTGGTAGTTAGTTTTTTTTTTTTTTTAAGTTGAACCATCAAGAAAGACAAAGGTACTAGTGTTAAGATTGCTCATCTCTGTTACTGATTCATCATCAAGAGATTTGTTTTTTAAAATAAACACTTAATGCAGTTTATGAGGAAGGGACGTGATTTAGTCGTTGCTGTAGAATCTTAGGGTTTTCAGGAGCACCGGGTCCCCTTGGGGCACAGGGTAAAGGGACTGAGGGGATGGGCTGGAAGTGGGCAGAGCCTGCCTTCGGGAGCCTGTTGGGCGTAGGAACAGCTCTGCTTCTGTCACTTCTGTCTTCATTCAGAGTAAGCTTTCAGTCCAGAGAAAAGTTCAGAAATTGCTGAAATTGGTCCTTCATATATATATGAGAAATTTTGAAAGGGATTGTTTATGTGGAGCCTTGCAATATATTTAGTTCCAGTCACGATTGTGTTAATATTTAGGTGTCTCAATAATTTTAAGATTTGATTGTGTTTTTTTTTTTGAATGCTTGCTCTTCAGTAGCTATTGTATTGAAAAAAGGGTTTGTAGTTTTGGAAAATAGAATCATGTACAAGGCACCATGGATGGGGGATTTGTTATTTCTATAACCGTGTAATGATTTGTTTTGGTAATAAATCCTTCTCTAGTGTAGACAGGTCCTTGTTTACTGGTGTGTTTGTATACTTTCTTAAAGTGGGACATGGTCATTTAAAATGCTTTTTGAAAATTAAATCAAGATCTTTTAGAAATGTGCCATTATTCCCTAGTTATAGTATTTTATTATTTCTACTACTTACCGATAAAATAAGATGATTGGTAATCATCTCTGGGCTCCTTACCCCCTGTAAATTCAATAATTTAACAAATCTTTACAGATGTCCAAACACTGGGGACACAAATAATTGTTAAACTGTTAAACATAGGATTTGCCTGTGAACTTAAAATTTAGTGGCAGAAATCCCAGTGCTGGGAGTGTTTGATAGAATGTGTGTGCATGGCCACATAGGTGGTTTCTCTCGCTTTGGCATTCTTGGCAGGGTTTGTTGTGAAGAGAAATTTTAGTGGGGAATTTTCCTCTCGTGTTCCTTTTTCAAACTTGAGGTTACCTCTGGACCCCAGTTGTAATGAAATCCAACTTAATTGTCCAACTTCTTGTGGTCTAAGATGCAGATATTGAGAAGAATAAAATGTGGCAATTTAACAATACTCATAGTACTTTTCCACATTAAAATGATTTAATTGTTTTTCAGAATTTAAAAGCACCTTAAAGCAAAAAAGCTTTACATATAAATTCTGAGACTGTCCTTGCGTTTTTACAGAGTGTGGTGGACTTCAGAGGTAGGAGTAATAGTTAAATGTCTTTCTCTGAGCAGTGGCAGCTCATCTTAATGCTGTAGTGTTACAGCTTTGGGCATTGTTGTTCCCTCTGAATGGTCTGCAGTGGCTGCTGCCTTGCACCGGAGCAGAGACACAGGATTGAACTGTGAAGTGCTCCTTTCCTGCTGTCCTCTCACGCTGCGAGTGCACAGGTCATGTATTCGTCATATGACTAATGAACCCATGGGTAGATTGTAGCCCTGTGTACCCCAATGGTATTTTAGTTTATTAATGATTTATATAACTATGTTTTTTATTTTTTGAGACAGAGTCTCACTTTGTTGCCCAGGCTAGAGTGAGTGCCGTGGCGTTAGCCTGGCTCACAGCAACCTCAATCTCCGGGGCTCAGCGATCCTACTGCCTCAGCCTCCCGAGTAGCTGGGACTACAGGCATGTGCCACCATGCCTGGCTAATTTTTTTGTATATATATTTTTAGTTGGCCAATTAATTTATTTCTATTTTTGGTAGAGACGGGGTCTCGCTCAGGCTGGTTTCGAACTCCTGACCTTGAGCAATCCGCCAGCCTCGGCCTCCCAAAGTGCTAGGATTACAGGCGTGAGCCACCACGCCCGGCTTATAACTATGTTTTATTTATTTTTGGTCCTAGTTAGAATTTGTCAATGTGCGCACCGAAGCCAGATTTGAACTCTGAAATGTGGATCACGAGCATGTTCTTTCCACTGGAGCCCCAGCTGTAAAATCCCATGGAAGGGGTTTTGCGCCTAAGTGGGTTATGCACAAAACCACAAAATTTGCAGTTGGAAAGGACCCTGTTAGCTGTGAAGAAAGGAAGGGCCAAAGACATTCGAAAGAGCTGGTAGCACAGGTCTGGTGTGCTTTCCTGTTACACCCCTAGTAAGATCCTTAAGTTTGTGAATTTTGTTGGTGCTATTCTTGAGAGTGAATTGTGATTTCATTTTAAAAGTTTTACTTTTGTATTATTATAGTTAGGAATGTATTTTGCTTTAGTCAACAAACTATTAGAAAATTGTTGGATGACTTATATTTTAAGTGCAATTAGTTTATTTAGGGCCTCTGAAATGAACATAGAGATTTCATAAGAACTGTTCTGTAGAAATAATTTCAGATTGACAATTTATGTAAAAGGTAGCAGATTTTTTGTTTCACAGTGGCGTAGACTATACTTCATTGTATATTGGCTGAAAATTTTGATTAGCATTATCTGGCCTTATTGAAATCTGAGCATTCTGCTACCAGTGAATCATGGTAGTGATAGTTGTTCTTTTTGTTTGGATGCTAATCATTTCTTCTGGAAAATAGATGGAGTGTGTTTGGATCATCTTGAAAGAGAGGCAGGTGTGGGAACTAAGGTGGTTTGTCACCTAAATATAGCTGCTTTCTTTGGAGTTGTAGCTGAGACATTGTCATGTGCCATACAGTAGGTGGTTAATGCCCATAGGTGGTTCACTCTTGGAAATTTGTCCACCATTTTACTGTTCATTTTTAGTGAGTGGCCAAGGGACACAGGGAAGCCCACCTCCACTGAGTGGGATCATACCTTCTCATCGCTTGCTGGCAATGCCAGTAGAAGCCCTTCTTTCTTACACAGTCTCAGTCTGCAGTGAACTTGCCTGCATCCTCCCTTCTTCCCAGAAGGGATGCCTGCCTGCTGATAACGCCCCTTATGTTTCCTAGAAAAGGTAGAATTTTCCTCCCATTTGAGGGAGGGGCCCAGTGGAGGAACTCACACTACCGTGATTTTAAAAAAGCTCCTATGTTGGATTGCCTATCCTTTTGTTGCCTTAAATATTGCCATAAACATGGTGCAAGTTGGGTGTGATTTCAGCTCCCTCACTGCTGCTGAGCTCCTCTGTGAGAGCACGCGCATGCTTTCTTCTGAAGATTGTTTTCCTTGGTGCTCGTTTGGAGAAGAGCTGTGTAGCAGGGCTCGTGGAGCTGCAGCAGAGCCCGTGTCACTAACCTTCGCGGCTGGGCTGGCGTGACGTGCTTTGCTCGCATTAACACACGGAGGAGGTTGCATGCTGTCTTTGTGCTTAGTGCTCTGTGCTCAGTCAGGTAATCACCATAGTAAAGTTTTCTATAAGCATGAATGATAAAGATGAAAAGTGCTTAAAAAACACCCTAAAGCTGTGTGAGAAAAACTTGTTTTCTCTTTAATGGCTGTTAGGATGAAGAATACTTGCAGGCTCGCGGTGGGCAGCAGGGGCTGCGCGGGCAGGAGGACTGTGTTGCTGGAGAGGCGTTAGATGAGATTACTGAGCCCCAGGTTGCTCCTGACGCTGAAGAGGTATTTGTTCATCTTTTAAGAGTCAAAAAGTTTGCTGGTTTTCTTTCCCCAGACATAAAATGAGCATCTTTTTTTAGCATTAGTGATAAGTTGATAGCATCTCTTCTTTGAATTATAAGTATAGTAAAAAACCTGAGCTTTCTAAACTCTTGGAGAAGTGAGTTCTAGTGTGCTGTGATTTCTAGATAGTGTGTGCCCTCTAAGTGTGTTTCATTGTTTTAAATCTTTTATGGGGGTGTGGGTGGAAAGCTTTCACAAATGTGATGTATACCAGTGCTTTGAAAGTAGTGCTGTAATTATTTTTAATTAGTAACTTCAGTTAATTTGGACTATTTTTCAAAAGATATTGCAGCATTCCCTGTATTTAGGTGCTGTTTTAGATAAGAAACAAGGGTGATGAAGCTTAGATTCCTGCCCTCAAGAGACTTGGGGTCTAATATAGGGAAGAGAAAAAGACATGTACAAATTTCTGTGCCTAAAAACAGAGAAAGTAAAACCTCCCAAGAGAGGCTCAGACAGGGCTAGGAGCTCACTGAGGAAAGCTGGTGGGGAAAGGCGCTTGGGTTGACGAGGTTTGTGGAAGAGGTGAACCTCTGTATCAGGTCTTGAAGATGGATGTCATTTGGACTAATCGAGGTGGGGTAAGATGCAGGGTTACATGGGTGCTGAGAGCCCTAGAACCAGGTCCTGTGGGCCAAGCATGTAAGCCTGAAGACTTGTTGATTTTCTTAATAATTTTCCTGATTGGTGTTTTTTTAAGTAATTTTCCTTTATAACTTCTCCCTCTTTTTTCAAGAGATCACGAAACCTGATATTTATGCTGTAGGCCTTTTACTTTAGGTGTTACTCCAAGGCTTTAGAAACTTAGTCCATAAAAACATTTTATTTATCCTTTCCTAATATAAATAATACTATGGCAGTATATGAACCTGTACGCTGTGCAAAATATGAAACAAACATTTCCTGGATACATCCTTTCTCTCCCTCCAAGTTTTCTGTCTCTTTCTCTCTTGTTATTTGAAATAATTTGAAACTTAGAGAAAAGATAGAAGAATAGTACAAAGAACTCTTTACCTAGATTCTCCAGTTTTAGAAGAATGCATTTAATCCAAGGAACCAAGACAAAGCTGCAGGAGACCAGAGGCTGGGCGTGCTGTTCCCCACCGTGCTCTGTGGCACTCTCTCTGTTACAACACTAGCACCAGCCTAGGTCAAACCTGTGAAAGGGTGGTTGAGGCAGACGACATCGGAGAAAAATCTAAGAAGCCAGTAAAGGAGGGAGGGAAGCAGATGAAGTCTTCATGATTATTGAAGGTGGTGAATAATGGAGAGGGAAACCAAGGAATTCAGTACTCATTAATTTCAGCGCTCATTAATTTCATGTTGTTTTTATTAGTTTGTGGTATTTTGAAGTTGGAAGATTAATTTCATATATTTTTTCCCTATAATTTATTTCAGTTTTTTAAATAACAATATTCTCATTACTCCTCTCTGATAATTGTGTTTGTAGCACATTTTAAAACAGGGAAGGGTTTTGTAGATTTCAATCTTCAGATGATCTCTGGAAATATAAACTGTTTTATTCTAGAGCAGTGAAAGTATAAGGTTAGCAAGTGTTACCATTGCCTGGGTGCCTTATGGAAGTGATGGGGTATGGATTGTAGGTCTCCAACTTCAGTTGCTGAACTATATTCATTAGAATATTAAAACAAAAGTGGATTGCTATAAAAAATGGTGATCTTGTCTTCTGTTTTCAGTGTCTTCTGGTGGGGCAAATGGAGAGGGAGGAGGGGCAGGCAGAAAAGGAGCCCAGGAGAGACATGTAAAGCTAGAGAGATGGAGGGAGGAAGGGAGCAGGAAACGGGAGGGGTCTTCGTAGGGACATTAGTGATCAGACTCAGCCTTAAAAAAATCAGCTCACGATGTGTGAGTTAATATGACAAAATACCTCAGACAGACTAAGGGAGGATTAACTTGGAAGAAAGTTAGAATTTTTTCTTATACTAATATGGATCTTAGATTGATCAAAGATTTCAGTGTACAAAAAAAAAATACGCATACACATATGCGCATGCATACACATGCACCCCAAACTGTATTGGAAGAAAAGGTTTTAATCCTGATGTGTTAGCATTAGGCCTATCTATAAAATAAAACTCATCAAATATTAGAAGTTTATTTCTCACTAATGTCAAAAAATTCCAGAGGGCATTTTGGATCTGGTATTGGTCTCACCAGGTGATCAGGTACCCAGCCTTCTTCCTTACTTCCATTGTACAGTTCTAGGACTGCAGTCTACATTCCAAGCAGTGGATTACAGAAAGATTAAAAAGGATCATGCCTCTCCTTTAAAGACGTATCTCAGGGTTCTCATACAACACTTGTAAACATATTGTTAATTAAACCTTTGTCACATGGCTGTACCTACTAGCAAGGGAAGCTGGTGTATAGAGTGTTTTAGTTGATGTGTTCAGCTAAGATTGGGGTTATAGTTGGCGTATAAAGTTAATCAGGATATAAGAGTTAAAATTGAGTGTATAGTATGTTCAGTATATAGATTGAGTACTCTATAGAAAAAAGGGTGAATAATGTTATTCAAAAATAGAATAAGCAAGCTAGGCACAGTGGCTCAGACCTGTAATCCCAGCGTTTTGGGAGGCTGAGGTGAGAGGATTGCTTGAGGCCAGGAGTTCAAGAGCAGCCTGGGCAGCATAGTGCGAGATGGGGCATGGTGGAACACACCAAAAGCACTGCGGTTCAGCTGCTCTGGAGTCTGAGGCAGAAGGATCTGCTCAAGCCCAGGATTTCAAAGCCACAGTGAGATGTGATCACACCACTGTACTCCAGCCTGGGTGGCAGAGTGAGACTCTGTCTTTTAAGGGGTAAAAAAGTGCAAATGAGCAATAAGCATATGAAAATATACTCAGTAAAATAAACATTAAAACAAGATGGAGAATTTTATGCTATTTTAATATTGGCAAACATCAAAATTATTGGTCAGATATGGTCTCATTTAGTTGATGAAGCATTTTGGAAACATTGCCAGAAGATAGTTTTTCAAGGGTTCTTCATTTTACTGCATGTTTTGAGAGCAAATTGAGTAAAATTGCTGCCTGCCCTTTGTTCCAGAGTATCTCTTTGAGGATTTTTGTGTACCAAATGACCTTGAAGATACAGTGTCCTTTGGAGCCAAGGGCAGCAGGCTTCCTTGCTGCAGATTATTAGAGATTTGGGTTTCCTGTGTTCAGGGATCCCTGCTGTAACACAGGCCCCTATGTGTGTAGGGTCACCTGGCACAGTGGGAATGGGGCCTCAGGGAGCTGGTGCAGAAATGCTGTTGTTACAAGTAATAAAGTGTCCTAGTCTCTGACTAGTAATCTTAATCTTTTTATAGCCTCCATCGAATGGTGCAGACTAACTTGTTAGCTTGCAAGAAGGGTATAATCTCAGACCCTTCACTGTTCTTGACAGTATCGAAAGCCATAAAGCACTTGTCCTTTAACTCAACAATTCCACTGTAACAAATTTATCCAAAAGAATTAATCTAAGATGTGTTCAAAGATGTACGTTCCAGTTATTTATTTGTATCACTGAAAATAAATGGAACTGGCCAGGCACGGTGGCTCACACCTGTAATCCTAGCACTCTCGGAGGCTGAGGCAGAAAGATTGCTTGAGCCTAGGAGTTTGAGACCAGCTTGACCAAGAGCCAGACCATATGTCTACCAAAAATAGAAAAAAATTAGCTGGACATGGTGGCACACTCCTGTAGTCCCAGCTGCTCGGGAGGCTTGAGCTCAGGAGTTTGAGGTTGCAGTGGGCTGTGATGACTCCACTGCACTCCAGCTGGGGCAACAGAGTGAGACCCTGTCTCCAAAAAAGAAATCAATGTCAATTTTTATGGAAGGCTAAACAAATCTTGATCTAACCTTACAGTATAATACAGTATATCACATGCTGCCTTAGCTCTCTGTTTGACATGGAAAGATGCTAATGATATAGTAAGTGAAAGAAGCAAGATAATATATTAATAATTTATAATTATCATTAATAATTTTTCCCCTTAAGCTCATCTGTAACTGCTTATCTAAATGTTTGCATAATTCTAAAAAGTAATAGTCTGTATAGATAAAGACGAAAATGGTGACCTCTAGATAGTGGGATTGTTTGATGTTTGCATTCCGATATTTTATGATTTTAAAAAAATTTTTTACTGTAATCAAAATAACTTTTATAAGTAGGGCAATATTCTCTCTTTGAAAATAGGAAGAAACAGGGAAACATAAGGTGATTAAAATTGTAACCCTTTAATTTAGAAAGCAAAAAATTAGAGGTTGCATTTGTTTCATTCCTGTTGTTTCTTGTTGCTGACATGAAATTTCTTTCCTAACGGTTGTTTTCAGTATAAATCTTTAAAGCAGAAAGTCAGATCCTACCCACATTACATATGTTATCCTTTTTATACCATCTGCTGGGAGGTATAATATACCTAATCTTAAAGTATGTGCTGCCTTAGCTCTCTGACATGAAAAGATGCTGATGATATAGTGAAAACAAGTGAAAACTTACTACTGAAAACAAGATATTATAATTAAAATTAATAATTATAATTAATACTTCATCCCCTTAAGCTTTCTCTGTTTTTTTTAACAAATTGTATGTCCCTTAATTTAATTTTAAATTTAGAGTTTTAAAATTTTTATAAGATTATTCATATGTTTAATTTTTTATCCTTTTTTCCTTGATGGTTGGTTTAAGTTTAACCTTGTTTATGTTGCTTGTTTTTGTTTTGACTGAAAATTCTTTATAATGCTCTTTGTTCTTAGGACTTCTAATAGTCCTATTTTGGAAGCAGGTGATGCGCTGGTCTTTCCCCCAGCAACAAATATTTTGGGCTTGTTTTCTTATGGTAGAATCACTGAATATTAGTCAAAAGATAATTATTGAGAATGTGTGTGCATAGTGCTATTTTAGGTGCTGAGGAGTAGATGTTTCTTACTACTTCAGAAACGTTTGTAAGCTTTGGTTTTGAAGAGATAGTGATTCATCTTTTGAAAGTCTAAATAAATTATATAGTTTCCAGGGAGGAATAACGGGAATGATGTCCCACAAAAACCTGTGCTTTGGTGTCTCCCTAGTTCTCACCCATTTCTGTAATTGTTGATGAACATCTTTGTGCTCTACTGGGAGTTGTAGCATGCCTTGCTCTGGACTGCTTAAGACAGAGGTAGAAAGCATGTTGCAGTTTTCTGGATGACTTTATTCTAGGAGCTATGTTGAAGTGATCCACGTTGGAAACTGAATTATAGAACTAAAAATCAACTAATTGATTTTAATTAAAAAGCTTATTTTAGGTGGCTTTTTATTTAACTCATGTTACTATCAATCCTTTACAAATATGTGGCCACATTACCAGTTATGCTATTGTTTTCTAGTACAGTTAAAAATGCTTGCCATTTTTAAGAGTTTGGGCATGTTATGGAGGAAGAAATGAGAGAATTTTTCAGAAAATCTTTGCACCATTTAAAATAGTTAAAAAATTGTGGTAACAGTTACATTTAGGGATAGGCATAGAAGTGTAAAGTAAATTCTGATACGTGTGTACATCTAAGTTGCCATCCTTCTATTGATAAGGAACAGTTCATCACCCCAGAAAGTTCCTTCTTATTTCTTTCTATTCAGTCCTAACTTCTCAGAGGCAAACTCTGTTCTTAATTCTATTGCCCTAAATAGGTCTTTCCTATTATAGAACTTTATATAAATGTAGTTATTTATATAAAGTTGAATATGTACTCTTATGCCTAGCTTCTTTTGCCCAAAATGTTTTTGATATTCATCCAAGTTAGGTATATTAACACTCCATTTTGTGGATATACCTCATTTGTTCATTCTCCTGATAGATACTTTGGGTTACTTCCAGTTTTTTTGTTATTATAAATAAAGCTACTATAAAGACGATATTGTATATCTTTTTGTGGATGTATATTTTCATTTCTCTTCGTTATTAACTAGTAGTGGAATTGCTGAGACAGATAGGGTAGAGGTATGTTTAATTTTATGAGAAGCTGCCCATTGGTTTTCCAGAGTGGTTGTGCCATGTTTTGCTTCCCTCAGTAGTGTAGGAGAGTCTCATTGTTCCTATTTTGTGGTGTTGTCAGTCTCTGTGTTTAATCCTTCTGGTGCTTTGTCATTTGTTTTAGTTTGCATTTCTCTGACCTCTAATGATGTTGAGTATACTATTGGGCTTTTATATATCTTCTTTGGGTCCAGTTTTAGTCTCTCAAGATAAAAAAGTGTGTTATCTTTTTATTTCTGTCTATATATGCTTCCAAATGGAATACTATACATGGTTTATATATTCTTCATACAGAAGGTATATTGTTTACACACACATTTTCTTCATAAACAATATATCTTCTCTATGTAGACTATATATCTATACATAACTGTCTATATTCTAGATAGAGAAGCATAGTTATATACTCTGAATATCAAGTCTATTGGCATATACATGTATTAATATTTTCTCTGAGCCTGTGGCTTGTGTTTTCAATTTCTATCTTTTCATGAGCTGAAAATTTTAATTTTGATGAGTACCATGGAATTTTGTGACCTGAGAATTCATTGCCTACCCTGAAGTTACAAGCATACTATCCTGTTTTCTTCTGGAAGCTTTATAGTATCACCCAATTTTAGTTTAAGACTAAAATAGAGACAAAATCACACTGAATGGAAGAAGTCAATCTGAAAAGGTTATATGCTGTAATGATCCTACTTACATGACATTTTCCAAGAGACAGAATTGTACTGGTGACCAGTGGTCAGGAATAGAGGAAGGCTCTGACCACAAAAGGACAGCACAGGGTTGTTTTTAAGTGGATAGAACTGTCGTAGAATGCAAACTTCTGGACCAAGTCTTGGAGGTCCAGTTAAGCCTTGAACTCACATTGACACCCAAGTGTGGCTGACAAGACATGCTCAACTGCAGACAATTTGACAACATTCACTAAACTAGACTTAATTCAACCCCTGATTACTATCTCTTATTCTAAGTACAGGGCTTTAAAAAAATGCATCAACCTTGGTCATATGGTTTATCAAATCAACTAACCTAATTGCCAAAATGTTGACCACCTGTATAGTTTTTTAACAAACATTACCTAGCATTCCATTGACAAGCAAAATTCCATTGAAGAGTAATATTGGGCTACAATGTAAAAATCAAATTATCCTATGATTATGCTGTGTAAAAATTTAATATGTAAAGCTTTGATTTCATTATAGAAATTGCCAAAAATATTCAAAAGTTTGGTTTTTAGCTACTGATTTATTTTAAAAACCTGAAAGATTTAATTCTTAGAAAAGGTTACATATGAAAATCACCATGAAAGTACTTAAAAAAATGAGGAGGTTCACCTACGCCTTATTTATGTATAATTAGAGACCCGTTGGTGGTTACCTGAAGAAAGAAAAACAAACAAACAAAAAAAATTCTTACGGGGGAACAAGCCTCAGACTTGTTGCAAAGAAACTGTTTTTAACTGTGTCTTGTTCTCTTTAGATTTCTTAGATTGAGATTTGGATGCAGAATAAACTATATTCATAGCAGTGGTAACATATTTTACATTAAAGTTGTTTGGAAAGTCTTTGAACTGTAGTTATGGTTACTGGTTGAATGTTGTTGTGGAGTCTTTGCTTTGTTGGTAGTGATTTCCTCCTCTCTGGCCTTGCTACTTATTATGGCCTGTGGACCTGCAGTGTTGGCTTCACTGGGGAGCGTGTTAGAGATGCAGAGTCTCAGGCCTCACCCTAGGTCTGCTGAGCTAGCTTCTGCTTTTTAGCAAGATTCCCAGTGGTTGCTCTAGGCATTAAATTGTAGAAGGGCTGTTCTAGAGCATCATGGAAGTGGAGAAGATACTTTCAGGGAGCTCACTTTTGTTCTACTTGAAAGTGTGATACAGCAGGTACCTAGCAGGGTGTATCTCAGATGTCACTCATTCTGATTTTAAATATTCAGTAGTACAGAAATAATGGTATCAAACCGCCAATAATACTGAGATTTTGGTGCTTTAAAATTCTGCAACATACTGACCAGCAGGTAGTGAAAGAAGGGGGTATTGCAATCATTAGGCTTAAGACAAAGTTATACTTTACAGTCATCCCTTTATTTTCAGGCATTTGAGTTCCAACAGATGTGTTTTCACTTGTAGGATTTAAAGTAAAGAGGATGTATATTTGTAGTTGATCTTTATACATAGAAAATGTTGAGGAAGGGAAGAACACAAAATGTGTTGTTGGTTTAATTTTTTTCTTGCACACTTTCTAATAAAGTCATTTATTTTTATTTTTATTTTTATTTTTATTTTTTTTTTTGAGACAGAGTCTCACTTTGTTGTCCAGGCTAGAGTGAGTGCCGTGGCGTCAGCCTAGCTCACAGCAACCTCAATCTCCTGGGCTTGAGTGATCCTTCTGCCTCAGCCTCCCGAGTAGCTGGGACTACAGGCATGCGCCACCATGCCCGGCTAATTTTTTTATATATATATCAGTTGGCCAATTAATTTCTTTCTATTTATAGTAGAGACGGGGTCTCGCTCTTGCTCAGGCTGGTTTTGAACTCCTGACCTCGAGCAATCCGCCCGCCTCGGCCTCCCAAGAGCTAGGATTACAGGCGTGAGCCACAGCGCCCGGCCCATTTATTTTTATTAAGAGTAAAGAACATTTTAAAATTATGAATCATGACAATAAAGGGGCAAGTGAATTTTCTTTAAATTTATAAAAAGAATTTAAAGAACCTCACGTGTAGTGGTACTTGTCTTGCATCTAAGAGTGAGTCACTGAGACTCATCTGGGGTGAGCAGTGACCCGTTTCAGTAGGAACATGAGTTATACTTGGCAGTAAGAATTGTATGAAGAAATTGTTTTTAGTTTGGGGGAAGATTTTTGTGGGGAATACCGATATAATAAAATTTAAGATAAAAGTTGGTTTTATTGTAAATACATGGCTAAAGAAAAAAATGGTTTCACTCTTTCAATAATTTCAGGCAAAGGTGGTGATAAGTTAACGCTAGACAGTGAGAATGAGGTAGAAAGGGTGAAGGAAGGATTTTGGAGGTGGAACAACTCGTCGTCTTCTGGCAGCGAAGGTGTTGGTAGATGAGCCAGGTGGGGATTAGGAAATGTTGAGTGTGTGTTATTGGAAGAAGTGTGATGCCATCCCATATAAGTTACAAGGTGGGTTATATGCTTAGAAACTTTTAGAATCCTAGGTTATTTTAATTTACATTGAATTTTTGCTATGATCTGTATTGAACTTGAGGCAATAGGTCCAGCAGGAATTCTTGGAATTTATGTTTGTTCTCTCAGAAGTAGCAACAATGTATAATGGGTCTTCCTATATTAATTGCAAGAAGGACTTTGAGCTTTTTAAACATTAAGTTAATTTTTAACATTTGAGATTATTTTCTCCCGGGGTCAGGTTAGTGTTTCACCTGGCCTTATAATAGGACTTTTTGCAGTATTTTTACATCTTAAATATTAACAATCTAAAAAAAAAATAGCATTCTTTAATATTTAATTCAAAAGAATATGAACTCATTCTCTTTCCCTTTTTGCTTTGTATGTCTGCAATGCTAGGGAGGTATGGAAACTTTGGAACTCCAAAAGGACATAAAAGAAGAATCAGATGAAGAAGAAGATGATGATGAAGAATCTGGACGATTACGTTTCAAAACTGAAAGGAAAGAAGGAACAATTATTAGGCTCTCAGATGTAACTAGAGAGAGAAGGAACATTCCAGAAACTTTGGGTAACTTTTTTTGCCTGTCTCCCATCCTTCTTCACTCCCATCTCAACTTCTTCCATAGTATTGTTATAATTAACTAAATAGGAATAGTAGGTCCACTGTAGGTGATTGTGGATGCCGTCCAAACGGTGGACGGTATGTGAGGTCAGGGCGGAGTTAGGGTGCTATAAAAGTCATTATATAGGACAACTGTTTCTGGAGTAAAAATGTTTGAATGAACTGTTTATTTTTGAAATAGATTTTTCCTTTGTTTTTGAAGTCTGGCCTAGAGCTGCTCTCGTACCTGTCACGTGGCTCCTGGCTGGTCTTGAGCAGATGACACAAGGATGGTAGTAACAGGGCCATTTCACCATTTCCGAGGTTGCTGGGGCTAATTCTGGACCAGAATGGTTTTGTTTTGTACCTTTTAGTGTCCTCATAGCCATCTTTTTTGTGTTTTCTGCCACTCCTCTCAGTGTTCAATGAGACAAGTTGACGTGTTTATAGAAATAATTAAGTGAACATCTTACTGAGCAAACCTGGCGAGTGTGGATGTACAGTGGACTGTTGCTAATGAACAGAGAGCCTTTTCCAGTCATGACCCCCTCTCTCTTTATACAGTTTTCCATTGTCCACTGTGAGTCAAGCTGTGGTTCTCACTTTTGAGTATCAGAATCACCCAGATGGCTTATTGCAACATAGATTTTTGGACCGACTCCTAGCTTTTCTGATTCATTAGGTCTAGGATGTAGCTCCAGAAAGTTGCATTTCTACCGGGGTCCCAGATGATGCTTCTCCAGAACAGGTGCTTGCAGAACCCCTGGGGTATTGTCCTGCTAAGGAGAGGAGGGTGAGAGAACGAAAGGACAGAAGTCTGGGCTAGATAAAAGTCAAGACCTAGCTTTATTACTACCTTTGTTGCTTCTTAAAACCATTATTTATAGTTGTTTTTAGTCTAGAGCATAAGCATGTATCTTTAGCAGGTGTGAATTCTGTGGGAGGAAACTAAGCTCCCAAGATACACCAGTTAACAGTAGCGACCCAGTCTTACAATGTTAATTTACTAAGCAGGGTTGATGGAGAGAGTCTTCTGGAATCTTAGTGTTCTCTTCTTTCTTCCCCCTCCAGTTTCCGTCTCTACCTTTTGGTGCAAGGTTTCCCTCTAGGGATGGGGAACACGTGGCCTTCTAGGTCCTGAAGTGTGGTCTTTTGACTGCATCCAAATTTTACAGAACAAATCTTTTTATTAAAAGAGGTGCAGCAGGAAAAGGTGAAGCTTTTCGTGCCTCCTCTGGTGCTTAAAAAAGAACAATCTTGAAATCAGAAGCCCACAGATTCACCACTCCTGTGGTCCGGGGACTTTTCTTGTGCTATAATACAAAGTTGCCAGTTGGTCTGAACCAGATTTCTCAGAGCGCTGAAGTTGGCCTTGGGTAAAAGGAGATGATGGAGCAAAGGTCTTAGAACAGGAGGATGGGAAAAAACAAAATACCTCCACAGGAGGAATTGGTAACATCATAGAACAAACTTACTGGAGCGAAGACATGTTCGTCTTGGGTTGGGGTGACATGACCAAGGGAAAGAGCATCACCCCTGGGCTGGACAGCATGGGGTGCAGCAGCAGCTGCATAGGTGTAGGGGCCTGCTGTACTGGGGAGGGGCTGTGGCCTGCGAGAGGGTGGAGGGGAGGAGGAGGAGGAGGAGGAGGAGTCATCACCTCGGCTTCTTTGTGTCGGGTCTCGTTATCTGGGTTGTGGCTTTGCATAAATTTAAAACCTGATGTATGAAAGCATAACTGCTCCCATAAGTAGCTGCAAGTTCTAAGAATATTTTAAGTTACTTTATGGCCAACAGTAAGGGCATTCCCCTCTGCAGTCAGTTTGCTGTTGGGCCACTGTGAATTTGTGGCTGACTTCCATGCCACCCTCCCCAGACCATGATGCTTCTCTCCCTTTGCCCACCTCACCGTCCCCAGCTGCAGTCATCTTATCCCTGCTTGTTTTCCCCCAACCCAAGCACTGATAACGTCTTTATTGGGAAATGTTGTTCTGCTTGCCTGTGTTAATAATTTTTGTTTCATCCCTGCATGTCTTTTCAGGAACTGTGGTTATTTCATTCTTTCCACGGGCATTTGTACTTTTATTTAAATAAATTAAATATATATTTTTTCTTCTTAAGACGTTTGACACCTTTTTAGTCGTATAAATCTGAGACAAGCGGCTAGAAAGATTGGTTTGTGGTGGACAAGTCACCCCTTTTGAATGGGGGTAAGAGGAATGACTATGGGGTCCTTAGAGGCAGAGTGGCTATGAGCATGAACAATTTGACTATTTACCGTTCTTTTAAAGATTAAAAAAGGACTTACATGCATTTGTGTAGCATGTAGTTATTTGGCTAAGATAATAGAGCAAGTGAATATGGTACGTAAAAGTGCAGGCAGTCCTGGGTTACGGACGACCTGGCCTATGGCATTCCGTGCTTACACAGGGGCTTCCATGGCTCCTCATGAGGATAATTTAGAGTTAAATAATTAAATTAATAATTCAAGAACTGTTTTTTCTGTGCATGTAAACAAACCCACATGGCATCAGGCGTCCTCAAACTATGGCCCCCGGGCCACATGTGGGTGTTTTTGCCCGTTTGCTTTCTTACTTCAAAATAAGATATGTGCAGTGTGCATAGGAATTTGTTCATAGTTTTTTTTAAACTATAGTCCGGCCCTCCAACGGTCTGAGGGACAGTGAACTGGCCCCCTGTTTAAAAGGTTTGAGGACCCCTGGCGTAAGTGGTGCATTGGCGTAGCATCTTTACTCTAGCGGCTCAGTGTTTATATGGTGGCTTACGCACAGCATCACTTTCGTCTTTAACTTTTTTATTCCATTTTGAGAGCCTGTGTTGTCCCTGACGACTGTGCCTCCAAAGTGAAAGTCCACTGTGAGTCCAGGTAAACTTGCAGCAAGGACACAGGTGATTACAGTGGCAACGAAAGTAGGAATAACTACGCTTTGGGAGAAAGGCCAGATGCCACCAATCACTGGGAGAGCACTAGGCTTCAGTCACTCGACTATCGGGATAGTTATAAAGTGAGAATAATGGATATGTGACAGGCAGTGCTCCAGTGACAGCCTCAGTTATTACTAAGCAGCGTAGAGGATTAATTATTGCAATAGAAAGGTTATTATTGATTTGGTTAGAAGATAAAAATAACCATAACATTCCTATTAGCCTAGCATTGATGCAACATTAGGTGAGTGTTAACCTTTAATGTCTTTTTTTGAAATTTCTCCTATCTAAACTTTTTTATGAGTTTATTTTTTGTGTTCTATTTTTTGGAATTGAAAGAGCACAATCATTGCTGTAATTTATTATTATAGTACAGGGGTGTTATTATTATTACAGTATTACAATGCATTACTATTGCCACATATGAGCCATTATAGTATTATAATTGTTTTTATTACCATATATATGCTGTTCATCAGGTATCCAAGTTACATACAAATCCAACCTAAAGATGTGCTCAGGAACATATTTCTCTCTTCCATAATCTGGGGACTGCCTCTACCTTTTGGCTGGCTCACACCTGTAATCCCAGCAGTTTGGGAAGCCAAGGTGGAAATATTGCTTGAGCCTAGGAGTTCGAGACCAGCCTAAACAACATAGTGAGACCCTGTCTCTACAAAAGATAGAAAAATTAGCTGGGCATGGTGGCCCACACCTGTAGTCTCAGGAGGGAGGATCGCTTGAGCCCAGGAGTTTGAGGTTGCTGTGAGCTATAATGATGCCATTGCACTGTAGCCCAGGGAACTGAGTGAGACCCTGTCTCAAACAGAAGTACTTTTCTCTGCTTGATATTTGTGAACTCTAAGCTTAGTGTTTGGAAACATGAGTTCTCCAGTAATTGCAAAGTTAGTACTATTCCCAAAACAGAAAAGGGTTTTTCTGTTCATCAGATGGTGGTTTCCTAAAACAGTAAGCGCCTTTTTTACTATTATTCCCCAAATAAAAGATTAATTTTACATATGAGGAAAATGTTTATAGAAAAAGAGGATACTACAGTATTTGGTAAACAAAAAATTTGCAAAAATTTTTACCTATCAGTTTATTTATGTGCACCTAGTGATCAAAATATCAGTTTCAGGTTCTGTATAGAAATAATTGCATTTATTTGATTGTATAAAGCTGTTTGCCCACTCTCTGTAATGGCTCTAAAGTATCTTGCTACCAGAGTATATATGTCATCTCATATGATATGTATTTTTTGACAAATGATGTCTTTTTAACATTTTGAATACAAATAAAAAACAATTTTTTTTGTGATATCATTGATGAATGTTCGAGAATACTCTGTTCTTTCAAAAGAAGAATCAAATAATGCTCTGACATCCCTGAAAGTCTGCATGTGAAATAGTGAGTTCTCTTCAAAATCTAGGAAGGAGTTTTGGTTACTGTTGATCTTTTTTTTACATTCAGGTACGTATGAAAGACATTCATACATGTGACTGTCTCCACAGTTAAGGAACTGAGTATATAATTTTGGGCTTTCATGGAGGTTAAGACCTTAACTGGTTAGCATTTTTGTCAACCAGGGTTCGGAAATTAAACATTGAAAAAGGTTTGAGTAACAATTTTCCCAGGGATGATACCATGTAGGAGATAAATTAGTTCATTACATACAAAGGATGCCATAGGGTGTGAGGGCTTAATTCCTCATGGATCCCAGTTGAGCAGGTTTGCTAGAGCATATAAGTGTAAGGGAGTGATTTATTGTGAATGAAAATACCCGTAGCCATCTCTTAAAATTGGGGTGTCACTGAGCAATGAGTGTCCCTCAAGTGTCAGGCCGGGAAGTCCAGAGCTGTCTGTTCTTTTGCCCTAAGAAGTAGTCCTCAGATTGTCTGTGAGAGCAGTGTAAGCCATAAATGAAAGACAGAATTTATGTCAGTGGCTTTTTAATTCATCATCTATGGATAGGTGTTCAGATTTTGTGTTATTCTAAGTTTCATTGGTGTATCTTAAATTATTATTATTTTTTTGCTTTAGTCTAAGGAACCTGCTTGTTATACCTGCATAATATTTTCTTGAAATAATATCCTTAGTTAATTTCATTTAAGGCAAAGAATTTGTTGGGAAAAATATTTTTATCTAGTGATAAACAATTCAAAATCATTAATGCCCTTAATGGCAACAGTTTACTGTCATAGGTTTATACTGTGTTCCTTGTATTTGCAAGGGTTTTTAAGAAGTGTTTGTTTTTTTTTTTTAAATGTCAAACTATCATTTGTTATTTTTATTTTGCCTAATAAGTTTTATATGTTCTATAAATATTTATTTCCAACTACTATAAGATTACTTACAGGCAAATATATATATATATGTATATATATATATTAACATTTTAGAAAGGGGCAATACAGTGTACTTTGAGCCATATATTCTTCCCTTTAGAGTCTGGACATAGTTCAGAAAACACTTAAAGGGAAATTAACATTTCAGTTGAAGTTACAAATGTAATTTCCATCCTGTCATATTTTGGTGACCTTTTGTGACAGCTTGTCTCAATTGGAGGAAAGCATTTTTACTTGCTGATTAAAGATGTCATTTGAAACCATTTTATTACTGAGGATAGCGAAATTAATCTTGACACTCAGAACCACTAGAAAAATAATTGCTGATTCACTGCATAAAATGTGTGTGTGAACCAATCATGTAGTCAAGATTAGAATAAAAGTCTTTGCTGGTTTAAAAGAGATTAAATTTTCTTTCAAATGGGATCTAGAGTCATTCGGTGGGGAGGGGATACCACAGTAACAATTTCAAGAAAATGAAATGTGGCTTAGAGATTTTGGAAGAGTTTGGAGGTGATGGTATCCAAGGTAGGAGGTAGAGTCTGATAATATTTAAAATTCACCCTTCACTGGGGAAGAAGGCATGAGAAGCCTTCTCAGTAGTATTCAATGACATCTTTAGAAAATGTACATTTATTAATGTAAGATATATTTTCACAATTTAGATATTATTGTAAAGTAGAGGACCATACATGGATAACATGTTTTTTTCCCCTCCCAGGAGCTTAGAATAATGTGCCGTATGAAGTTTCTCAGGGCCAGTGCCCATGCCTTCTGTATCCCTGAAGCACAGGGCAGAGCAAAGAGCCAGCTGGTTGCTGCTCACAAAAGTTTTTGCAGCAAAATGTAACTTTGTGACTTTGCTCTCATCTGATAAGTACGGCTTCTGCGTCAGACTGCATACATATATGAAGCCTTTCTTCACAGATTATAGGTTTTTTTTAAAAAAAAATGAGAATCTTTGAAATGAAATATTATTAAATGAGTTTTGGTTCTTTGTAAAATTACCTTTAATTATTTGACTTCAGAGTGAGCTCATTAATAGTTTTGTTTTTAAATGAAAGCAGTCAAGAATTTGTTTTTTAAGTCTCTGTGCCATCGTGTGCTCATAACACTGGCTTTAATAAGAAAACTGTGCTGCTGTAGGACTGATGGAGACATCTCCTGACCCATGCCGTGTACTTTCAGTGAAAGAGGAAATTCTAGCACAGCGCCTAGCAGTTTAAGGGCAGTGGTTACATTTAACCTCATCCCCTCCTTCTTAGCACATGTAAGTGGTCTCAAATGAAAACAATTTAAAATTTATTGGTGATACTTGTATTTTATTACAAAGGAAGCCTGTCTTCATTTAACAGATCTCACTAACGGGCAGTGAGTGTCGCCGGCCATATCATCCTTGCTACTGCTAGTTCAGTATTTCTTTTCCAGAGTTTCATTGTCACGTATTTCTTTCCCATTTTCTCCCCGTAAGTCTAGTTTGGGCTACTGGAAGGTATCTAACACATATGCATCTTTTCAAATAGAGCTTTCAGCAGAGGCCAAAGCGGCGTTACTTGAATTTGAAGAAAGAGAACGACAGCATAAACAGGGACGCTATGGCTCCAGGCGGGGAGGCCGGCGCGGAGGCCCACTGATGTGTCGTGGCGTGGGGGACCAGAGGAGAGAGAACAGCGAGAGGGGCAGGATGAAGGACCACAGACCTGCGCTGCTGCCCACACAGCCTCCCATCGTGGTAACTTGGGCTTTTATTGTGGTAGTCCTAGAACTTTAAAACAAATGAAAGTTTGCTTATGTGGGTGTCCTGTTGTACGTTTATCTCTTCTGAGTCTGAAGTTAAAGTTCAGTAATAGGAGTTACGACCAAAATTTCTGCTTCATAGTCTACGTGCGATGTCGTACGCAGTCTTAGAAATTCAGTCCTCCGCTCGTCTGGTAGGAAGAAGTAACCCTGCACGGTGACTACTTCCAGAGGGAGGGCCGATGTGTGACCCTGCTGCCCTCCAGTGACGAGAGCCACAGTGGAGTCTTGTTGTTGCCTTGGGCCTCTGCCGAAGTGCTTCTCCTGAGTGCACTGCATGGAAAATACTGAGTTTATTACAGGGTTTAGGCAGTAATTGTATATTTTATAAAAGTATTTTTTTCCTTCATACTTTTTACCATAGTTTTTTTCATAAATAGCAATTTCTCATAATCACCATATCCTATCCATAAAAATTTTTCATAATTTAGGAATAAAACATGTATTTATAATTTTAACCGAATTAGAATTTCCTCAGTATTTCAAAGTGGGACATCTCAGAAGCGAAGACAGAGAGATTGTGATTTTTTGTTGTTCTCTTCATTAAGCTTTGAGATTTTATGGCTTTGTCTTTCAGAAGTCAACCTTCAAAGAAAAATGTATTTAGTACAAACGTGTCCACTATGTCTGTCCCACTTACATTTTTATCTGAATTGAGGGGGAAACTGTACTTCACCTCTGTGTAGAAATGTTATATTTTAGGAGGCATTCGTTTGTGAAATAACAAAATAGAAAAGGCGATTGGTGTGAAAATTCCTGTTTTGATGTAAAGGAAGTGAAGAAGATTAGGTGGGCCGATTATATGATAGCGTACGGAATTTGATGGCATTAGTGACCGTTGTGTGCTCACACAACCGTTTGTTCTTAAACATGTCTAACAGCAAAAAGGCTGGCCCTTTTGTTGCTTTCTTTTTCGTTTTCTTTTTTTTTCCCCTTCCTTGTCCTCTATTCCTGCCCCAAGGCTATACTTGCCACTTAGCAAACAGCCAATTCATCTGTTTTGGCCTCCTTGGGGAAAATAACCACACACGAGACCATTTTTTGTGTGACTGTGTCTCTGTGGTCGTGGGAAGGTCACTGAACTCTGTCTTCATCCACAAAGAGAGGGATGACGTGTCACTTTGTCACTTACCCTCCTGAGGGAGCTTGAACTGAGAATGTGTGAACGTTTTACTAACATCATAGACGTGTCAGTTGGCCTGAACCTGACATGATACATCTCTGGATTATCTGAACTGGTAGAACTAACTGGACGAGGAGTAAACCAGAGAGCTGCCCCGACCAAGTGCAACACAGCTTTGGACTGAGAGCCACAGTCTGATCTTTGCTAGTCAGTGGTCAAAGGTCAGGGCCGTCTGAAATTAACTGACTTTGCTCCCAGCAGTGTTCTCTCCCAGATCACACCACCCTCGATCGTGTGCACTGCCCACCCAGAGCTGTTCTGGCTCCTAGCTCATCACCCTCACAGTTGTGGAAAGAATGTTCTTGGCTCATGTCTTTCCTTTATTCATTTTCTCCTGGGTTGGTTCCATGCTGCCCGCCTGGATCCATTCTTTCCACTGTCCTGAGCTGTGCTCTCAGAAGTGCCCTGATGTTTGTCAGGTGTCACATTCTGGGGCTGTGGGCATCCCTGGGCATCTCCTTTCTCTTGTGCAGCTCTTTCTCAGGTGTATAAGATTTTAGTTACACTGTCCTGCCTTCTAGAATGGTCCTTTCTTTCTCTCCTTTGATCTTCCCCCTTTTTTCTTTATTTTTTAATTTAAATATTTATTTTTACTTGACAAATAATAATTGTATATATTTATGGGATATAGTTTGATGTTACAATAAGTATATATTGTGGAATGATTGGATCAAGTTAATTAATATATCAGTTACCTTATCATTTTTTTATATTGAGACTATTTAAAATCTGTTCTTCTAGCAGTTTTTAAATACTATTCTTTAATTGCATTGTTTCTCCAGGTTTTGTTCTTATTCCTGCTTTTGGATGTTGCTCTCACCTGGCAAACGGTACCTTTGCTCTTGTCTGCTGTCTTTGTGTGATCTTGGTTTCCAACTTCACCTCCTTCCAAACTATAGTCCCTTCGTTTTCCCACCTATCCTTGTGTCTCTCCACATGGATGTCACAGGCCTTGAATGTCACTTGTTTATACAAACATGTGACCTTTTTTTAAAAAAACTCCATTGTGTTCTTGAATTAATGACCATGCATTGTGGACATTCTCAGTTCAATTACAGTTGAACTTGAGTGTCCCTGTGTTGGTGAATGTGCTGTCCATGATGAGTAAGATAGACGGATCCCTGCTTTGATGTGCATGTTACAAACGTGATGAGTTAGAGAACGGAACATGCTGGATTCTGGGAGCCTGGGTGCCAGTGGATTTGAGCTGCTCCTGGAATGTTTGGAAAAGTCCTCCCTGGGGAATGGTAGGAGAGCCAAGGCTGTACTCAGTCCAGTCTGCAAATTCTACTCATTGTTCCTCCGCGCTGTCTTCTTGCTCTCCATCAGGCTGTGGCCATTTCTATCACCTGCCTCTTGCCGTAGCCTATTAGATGCTCCCATCTCCTTTCCCCAGTTCACCTCACACAGTGCCCTGTGTGATCATCCTCCTGCCAAAGAGACCCTCAGGGAGCCCTCATTCTGCACATTGTGTATGGCGTGGTAACAGATCATCTTCTTGGAACTCAGAAGCCATCCATAATTTGGCATAATCCCAGGGAAAACGGCTTGTTAAATTAGATGCCTGAATTAGTAGTGTTCTACAGCTAATTAGCTATGCGGCCAGTCTGATGAATGGATAAAGCAAAACCTTTGGCATCAAAGTGCCTAAATTTCACATCCAGCCCTTCTGTTTTCCTGCTGCTTGATCTTGGAAAAGGAGATTGGTAAATATGATCCACTTTACAGGATTGTTGGGAGCTAAGTCAGCTACTTTCTGTACTGACCTTATAGTAAGGACTCCAGATGTGGGAGGGCTCATGCCTAGCAGCTGTCGCCGTGGCTGGTTTCCTTCTCTCCAGTGTCTGTGGTTGACAAGATAGCCCCTAGGTCCCTGACTGCTCTGAGTGTCACTTTCACCCTTGCCTTCTTTCCTCCTCTTTTACTTGGCCGAAGCCACTCTGGTGGCCTAGTTTACCAAGCAGGTGGGTCTTGCTGCCCTGCTTCTTTCGGGACATCTGTCCCTCACCGTGTGGCATATCTCTCCTTTTTCTCTATTGCCAAGTTCAGATGCCACCTTCTCAAAAGAAGCTTCCTCCCGTCCCCTGATAGAGTCCACCTCCTTCTAAGTCTGTCTTGTTCTCATGCCCAGGCTCTGTAGCAGGGTTCCTGATGTGCATTCCATCTCTCCTCTCTGAGTTCCTGGAGACGGGATCAGGGCTGCCAGCACAGAGGGCCCAGGACAGCTTCTGCTCTGGCATGGTGCTTTGTTCAGTGTGGCAGTTTTGTTTGCTGAACTGAAATTTTTTCTTTTCAAAATTCATGCTGAGTGTTTTGGGACTGTCATTTTTTTCACTCCTTTCCTTGAGATTGACTCAGCTGTGAGACAGTAGCCTTCGTTGTGAATAGGTGGAACAGCTTATTTATCCTGCCCTTTTGTTTCTATGAGCTTACTTCTAAAATTGTAACTTCAAGCTGGGCGCGGTGGTTCATGCCTGTAATCCTAGCACTCTGGGAGGCTGAGCTGGAAGGATTGCTTGAGCTCAGGAGTTTGGGACCAGCCTCAGCAAGAGTGAGAGACCCTGTCTCTACTATAAATAGAAAAAACAAGCCAAACAACTAAAAATAGAAAAAAGGCGAGCGTGGTGGTGCATGCCTGTAGTCCCAGCTACTTAGGAGGCCAAGGCAGGAGGATCGCTTGAGCCCAGGAGTTTGAGGTTGCTGTGAGCTAGGCTGACGCCACGGCACTCTAGCCTGGGCAACAGAGTGAGACTCTGTCTCAAAAAACTTAAAAAAAAAAAAAAAAATTGTAACTTTGAAAATTGAGTCAATGTAAATTTATAACATGTCAGCATTCTTTTACTTTCCTTTTAAATGTTGGTTTCTGTGAATTTTTCTTTTTTTGTGATTTTTAGACTCACTCTCCGAGATTAATTCCTCCTCCGCAGCCACAGCCTCCCCCGCCGCCGCCACCACCTCCTCCTCAGCAGCAGCCGATCCGAAGTCTGTTCCAGCAGCAGCAGCTCCAGCCCCTGCTGCCCCTGCAGCACCCGCACCACCCCTCCCCGCCGCAGGGCATGCACATGCCTCCCCAGATGGAGACCCCGAGAATAATGATGACCCCTCCTCCCGTGACCCCACAGCAGCCCAAGAACATACACATCAACCCACACTTCAAAGGGACGGTGGTGACTCCCGTTCAAGGTACGCATTTTCTTTCACTAGTACAGAGGGTACTTGACTTACCGTGGATTGACTTGCGAACTTTCTACTTAGGAGTGTTTGACTTTATGAAGGCGCGAGGGCACTACGAATTCAGTAGAAACAGTATTTGGAATTTAAAAATTTGGTCTTTTCCTAGGCTAGCAATATTTGGTACTAAACCCTCTACCGATGCTGGGCAGCGGCATTGAAGCCCAGTCATCTCCATAGTCATGAGGGTGAGCGGCCTGTACTACAGCGAGCTGTGTCACCAGATGACTTTGCCACCTGTAGGCTAATGTAGGTCTCTTGTAACTTTGAAGATTGAGTCAGTGTGAATCTATAACATGTCAGCATTCTTTTACTTTCCTTTTAAATGTTGATTTCTGTCAATTTTTCTTTTTTGTGTGATTTTTAGACTCACGCTCCAAGATTAATTCCTCCCCCGCCCGAGCACCTTTAAGGCAGGCTAGGCCAACCTCTGATGTTCCATGGGTTAGGTGTATTAAGTGCATTTTTTAATTAGGATATTTTCAGTTTACAGTGAGTTTATTGGGAGGTAACCCAAGTCAAGGAGCGTCTGTAATGTTATAGGTTGCTGTGCATCTGAAGGCATCACTGTGGCAGAATAGTTTTCACAGTCAAGTTTTGGAAGGATGAATTGTTTCCCTTGCTTCCTTCCCCATTCACTTAGACAGATTTTAGCTTGATGGGTCAAGCTCATTTCTTTAAAAATGTCTGTCTTATTTTATAATTGAGTAGAAAGAACTGAGAGAACATTCTAAATTTAAAGCGTATGTTAGAGGAAGCTGTTGAAATGTCTCAGTGGTTACATTTCATAAGTCTCATGGTAGGAATGTTTGTAGTAGAGAATGTCCCTCTTAGGTTGCACAGTGTGTCCCCCTTTATTTCCAGTGTCAGCGGATGGGGAGGGACACATCTATTTTTAATTATTTTTTATTTTATTTTATTTTATTTTTTTGAGACAGAGTCTCACTTTGTTGCCCAGGCTAGAGTGAGTGCTGTGGCATCAGCCTAGCTCACAGCAACCTCAAACTCCTGGGCTCAAGTGATCCTCCTGTCTCAGCCTCCCAAGTAGCTGGGACTACAGGCATGCACCACCATGCCCGGCTAATTTTTTGTATATATACTTTTAGTTGGTCAATTAATTTCTTTCTATTTTTAGTAGAAACGGGGTCTCGCTCAGGCTGGTTTCGAACTCCCGACCTCAAGCAATCCGCCCACCTCGGCCTCCCAGAGTGCTAGGATTACAGGCGTGAGCCACCGCGCCCGGCCTATCTTTTAATTATTAATTGTAATCAAATAACTGCTGATTTTATTATTACAGAAGTATGTTCCCGAAGCTAGGAAACTATTTTCGAGCAATTTATATGAAGCATATATTCATGCATTTTTTATTGCGCATTTACTGAGCTACTACTCTCTTTATCATTTGAGTATATTGGTGAACAGGATAGACAAAGCTTTCTGCAGTCATGATCTTGCTTGAAGCAGACAAAGACAGTCAATAAGCAATAACCATAATAAATAAGGATTTTATAAGGCATGTTAGAAGATGGAAATACATAGAGCAATTGAGCCGTATGGGGGAAAGGGTGGGTTCCATCTTAGAGAGGCGGCTTCCCTCAGCAGGGGAGAGTTGGAGATGTCAGGAAGTTAGCAGCATGACTTGCAGGCAGTGGCATCAGCGAGTGCACAGGTGAGACCTCAGAGAAGAAACGCAGAACTCAGGGTATGGAGGGCCTCTGACCCATCCTAAGGACTTTGGTTTTTATTCTGGTGACATGGGCAGTGATTAGAGGGCTTTGAGTAGAGCAAAAGCGAATGGGTTTACGTTTTTAAAGGATCATCTGCTGCTGTGTTGAAAGTAGGCTGCAGCGTGGCCAGGGTGGAGGCCAGTATCTAGCTAGGAGGTGACTACAGAAGTGCAGGTGGCAAAGATTGTGATGCAGGCCAGTGTGGCCGCAGGGAGGGGGACGAGGGGCCAGGTGCTGGGTGTGGTTGGCAGATGGAGCTGACAGGATTGGCTTGATGGATTGGATGAGTGTGAGAGGAAGAGAGGGGGCAAGGTGATGCCAGGGCACCTGAGCATCTGGAGGGATGGAGTTTCCATCACCTGAGGTGAGGGAAACCGAAGTTCTGTTTCTGGTGTGTGAAATTTGAGATGCCCACCAGACATGCAGGTGGAGGTGTCTCGTAGGCAGTCAGCTATGTGTTCAGGTGTAGTGTCTAGGCTCCAGGGACAAAGTGTGTGGGGGGGTTTGCTGGCATGTGGATGGATCTAGAGCCTGCCCCTGGGTAAGCGCCCTAGTGGAGGGTGCCTGCGTGTGGGGAGACCAGGGACTGGCAGCTGGGTCACTCGACACGGAACTGAGGCTGCGGGTGGGCCCAGGGAGGGGGAGCAGGCGAGGGATGTGTGGAGGGTGAGGGCAGGGCTGCTGAGGCGGGTGCAGGCTGCACTTGGCACAGGGGGCTTGGTGATGGCGAGGAAGTGTGAGCCTGCCTGAGAAGTAGAGATCATTTATTGACAGGCTCTGACGGTGTTTTGCTCAAACAGAACTTGGATGATAATTGTTGGGAGGAAGTGGGCTTGAGGGAAAGTTTTATTTTAAGATGAGAAAAGTAACATTGCACACTTACAGGAAAGAGCTAGTTGAGAAGGTAAAAAAAAAATCGCTGATGCAGATGAGACGTGTCCTGGCGGGACCATGTGCACAGAGGCGGGATTGCTGGGACCGGGGAGCAGGGTGTCCTCTGCCGCTGGGGCAGATGGCTGAGACCTGGGCGTGGTGTCAGTTCTTTCCTGACACTTAAGTTTTCTCTGGGAGTAGCAAGCAGTTGGAGCGGGGAGGTGGGAGGCCATGTTGAAGGTCTGAACAGAGAAGCTACGTAGTCATCCTCGAGAGGGGTCAAAGAGCAGCCTTGCCCCAGCCTAGCAGGGTTGAGCACTGGAGGATTATGGTCCTGGGCTTGAAGCAAGACCAGCCTGCATGGTGTGGCTCTCTGCAGCTGTGTCACCTGCTTGTAGTAGGTGTGGAGTGGACAGTGGGATTATGAGGAAGCTGTGGGGGGGGCATGCTTACGATGACAGACCGTGGGGGTAAGGCAGATGCAGGTGGAGAGAGGACCCGGGGCTGGGGGCAGTAATGGAGATCCCTGGAGTCGAAGGGCTATTTGAATTCGGGTCCTGGAGGGAGTGAGGTAGAAAGCAGTGTGGAGAGTCGGGCTGTGTGGGGGTGGCGGAGAAAGGTGGCAGTTGTTCGTAAGATGGGCACAAGGAACGGAGGCCAAGTTGGCACGGACCCCAGAGGCAGGCACTGGAAGGGTCACTTCCACATTTATTCAGGGGTTATGAGTGTTGAAGACTGGCTGTGAACCAGAAGCTGAGCTCCCTGAGACACGAGCTGGGCCGTGGGGTCCTGGGGGCTGTTACCTGGCATGGTGGCATTTAAGGCTGGGGTCTGGAGTCAGCAGTGAAATCCAGAAGGAGCCCACCCACCTCCAGCCCTGGCAAAAAGGCTGTGGGAGAAGGACAGCTGCACGTTGGAGGGCCTCGGGAGAGCACGAAGGGGACGGCACTGAGGGATGTCATGGATCCTGCTGATGGATTGGGGACTTGTTATGCCAAGGGATATATATGGTAGAGAGATTTTGGAAGTGAGAAAAGCCTAAGATAGGACTTCGAGTGTGGGAGATGGCCAGTGGCCTGGGCCTGGGTCTGGCTCCCTCCCACGCTAACGTACAGCGTCGGAAGCATTATGAAGTCCTGTAGCCTTGGGGTGGGGGCTGTGATGGGGACTGGCTGGCCCTGAGTGGGAGGTTAGGGACTCCCCTTGACAGGGTCTGTGGGTCACCACTGGGAGACCACTCTTTGGGCCACTTGGCACAGCAGAGAAACATGAGGTTGTAAAGCACGCTGGCTCTGTTTTTGGGTCTTCCTAAGCCCTTTTGACTGACTGAGTCTGTGGCATGTCCCTGTGTGCAGTTGCGGGTCTTCCCCCCTGGCCCTCACCCTCTTCCGTGGCCCTGAGCGTGTGGGATCAGCAGGCATCTGTCTCCCTCAGTGGCTGTGGAGTGAGTGAACAATGGAACGATTGCCTGCTTGGACGGGAAGGGCGGCTCTCTTTAAATTAATCCTTTGCATATTGTCTACAGTTGTTGCCCTGAACTTGGAACTGCAGTCAGTCTAATTTGTCAGAATAATTTTACTTTTGGCAGCATCTGTTATTATTGCGTATTTCCTTATAAAATTCAGCGGAAAACTGGCAGTCGGTAAGATGAACAGATTTTTTTGGCTTAACAGAAGTAAGGTAGCATTAGAACTACAGAGTGGTAAAGCTGTAAGGAAGCCCTAACATTTCCTTTAGGCATGAAAATGTGAACTCTAAAGCCAGCTAGATTTTTTCCACCGTGATGCAGGGAGGTTCAGTACCGCATGTTCCTTCTCTTTACCTCTGACCTTCAGAGCTCTGCACACTGTCCCAGGGGAGAGGGAAATTGTCCTTGCTGGGTATAGATAGATATGCGACTCTTTTGAAGCAGTTGTTTATTCGGTAGTACGTGAATGAGCTTACGTAAGAAATCCTGGTTGCTCTTGAGAGAGGCTGAGTATCAAGACGTCTTCTGTATACATAAGATACATATGATAGATCAAACCAGAGATTCTCAGAGCCGCATGCAGATGAAAGGTACAATCAAAAATCTTTTTTAAAAAAATTAACAACATGATTCCTGATGGCACATATTTTGTTTTTGAGGATGAAGCGTGTTCTATTATATTATTATTTATTTAATACCAGTTTTTATGGAAATTTAACTTGTTTCCAGATTTTTCACTATTACAGTTACTGTGATGAATTGAAAACTTAATCTTAGTCCATAAAATGTATGGGACAACAAGGATATAAATAAGTATAAAATGTTCAAGTTTAAAGTTCAGCTAGACTGGTCTCTGACATCACACGTTTTAAATTCTCTTCTGCTCACAGTGGTGCAGGGAAGCAGTTGGGCGGCCTCGTCCTCCTGCTTGGAGACCCGGCGCCAGCAAGGCCTGTCTGGGAGAGCGCGCAGACAGACGCCTGCATGCTCTGACCCAGCGAGCAGCTTCTCCTTGGGCCGGGCCAGGTGTCTGCTCTGCTCCTGTCACCTTGTCCTCAGCCGCTCTCTTTTGTGAATTGTTACTCTCTTTCTTTTCTGTCTCTTCTATAGTCTTTTTACACAGGTCCCCCCTCCCACCCTAAAGAAAAATGAGAATTATAGCTCATCAGAGGCTTCTGTGTAAGAGATCCATTCTTCACCATCATGTTTCCCAGAGATCCCGCCTTGACTTCTCGCTCTCATTCTCCCAGTTAAATAGGCTTAATATGTCTGTCTTTTATTGTATTGGAATTATTTGATAGGTATTGACATATCACTTTCTAAGTTAATATAAGTAGTACATATGATAAGTTCTTGAAGATGTGGGTATTTTATATTTGGTACTTAATCTTAAAAATTATGTCTTTATTTTGTTTAACAGGTAGTTTTTTTTCTTTCTTACGTTCATTATAATCTTCTGAGGTTGGAGATATTCTGCTTTTGTCTGTCTCCACAGTCTAATATTTAGCTTCAGAGACACAGTTGGTGTACAACTAGCTGTAGATGTAGAACGGGTAGACTCTATTTTATATGCAGTTTTACACGTTGACCCTCTCTAGTTTTAAAATTTTGATTCGTTGGATTAGTCTCTCAAGGGAGGGATGGACTTCTGCCATTTTACATCTCGTAAAAGTAGGTTTGTCTCAATCACATTTTGTGTTTCTTCGATGGCCACGCTACCTACTCTGAACGTGCCCAGTCTCGTCTGACATTTTGTGTTTCATCATGCAATGACACAGGCCTATATATTCTGTCTCTTGAAGTTGAACCTGTGGAACTGTGATGTTAATTATCAGGCTTAATGTATGGAATTCCTTGAGTAATTATAGTAAATAAAAAATAGTTTATACTAGCGTTCTATTTTTAGAGTAATTTTGATTGACTCCTAAGATGTATCATCTTTACCAGCACCTTCTTAAAAATATGCTGCTAAATTATAAACTTTACCAGACATGTATTAGTTTGCATAACAAAGTACCACATAACAAAGTACCACAGACCCGGGTCTTACAACAACAGAAATTTATTTTCTCACAATTCTGGAGGCCGCAAGGCTAAGATCGAGGTGTGGGCAGGGCTCTTTCCTTCTGAGGCCTCTCTCCTTGGCTTGTAGATGGCCACCTTCTTGTGTCTTCACATGGTCTTCCCTCTGTGTGCATACTTGTCTGTGTCTCAATTTCCCCTTCTTATAGGGACACCGGTCAGGTTGGATTACGGCCTACCATAAAGACCTCATTTGACTGTAATGACCTCTTCTAAAGACCCTATGTCCAAACACATTCAGAGCTACTAGGGCTTAGCTTCAATGCACTAATTTGTGTCCAGGTCTGGGGGAGACACACTTCAGCCCATAACACCCAGGGATGTGAGAGCTTCTTAGGTGCATCTGCCAGCACATTTTAATGAGAAATATAGCCAGCACTTAAGTGGTGAGTTTTTTTTTTTTCAAAATCAAGATCAATAAGTTTTTTTTTAATGTTGAAATAAATTATTTTTATATTGATTATATAAAATATTAAATATGACACATAATAACTAATCTAAATTTTGGCATTAAAATAAGAATTAAATATTATATGAATGGTAGTTATATTTACTTTAACATTTACAATGTAAAGTTTACTATGGAAATCCAACAAAATGAACAAATAAAGGTTGGGTAAATAAGAAAATGTGTTTAATATGATAGTGTCATTTTAAGACGAAAAACTAAAACATGAATAGTAGATAATTAATTTTTCAA